TAATTGAAAACCTTTAAGGTTTAGAACAGACACTGACACAATGTTTTTAACATAATTGGATCGTCATCTAACCCAAACCATTGGGGGGGTCATTGGGATCAGCGGGGAGCTTGGTTGACTAGACAAGAGTGATTCCAAATGGGGGAATTACAGGGGAGAAAGCTTTTAAAGCGCTTATGGTATATTGAGATGGATGAGGTGCTCACTTAAGTGCTAATAGGGAAGCTCCTTGTAGTTGAGACCACTTAACTCTTTTAAGGCAAAAAGCAAGAAATTACTGAAAGGAAATAGAGAAGAACAAGTGTACAACAGTCAAAAAATATGTTAAATCTTTTGTTGGAAATAAACTCAGGAATACATAGATAAAAGGAGCAAAAGCTTTAAGGTATTGGAAAATGGACAATCTCAAATAAAGTTGAATGATTCCATCAATTAGATTTTTCTATAAAACAACAGAAGCAGATAACTGATTAATTTTTTTGAGTACAAATTGATACTTTGTGCTGTCTCTCTTCGTGTTTTTCTTGACGATTTTTTTTTATTGAATTTTAAATGGGCAGATAAAAAAAACATTTTTCAACTAATAAAATGTACAGCCGCATTTTTTGATATTTGATTAAAAGCGGAAACTTTTTATCTTCAAAGAATTTACTGAACTTTCAATTTGAAGTCACTTCATCCCTGCAACACATTAAAAACGATAATAAACTACTTCTTTTTTTAATGACGAAATCAAAACCCCCACATCAGTAGACCAGTATTTTTTTTAACAGTGCTCAACCGAGTTTTAAAATGATATCACCACGGTAATTTTAAGTCGATAAGTTGTACAGGAACATTCAGAACTCTCCCTGCATCATATTAATAGCCTTTTCGTAAAGGTTATCGTTAGTATCAGTTCAAAATGTTCCAAGCTCTCAGATCGATCAAATGCTTGCTTTTCCTTTATATTCTTTCATGCAAAGTCAATACAACCTTAACTCCCATTCTATATAATAAGTAGGCGTATGTGTATTAATTTCACTTATTTCGCCGTAATTCAACTGTTGTATTAAACCACCGTCGTTGGTGTTTTAAGCGCGTGCAATTTTAACTCCAAAGAGGGGAATGGATGGGTGAGTAAAGACTCCGACCACCCCTTAAAGTTCATATGAAACGCTCGTTAAACGATCGCTTGGAATTAAATTTAAGAGCTATGTCTCAGTTCCATAAAGCTCTCATAGAGGGTTGGACCGCGCGCCGTATCGTGGGTTCTCCTCGCAGCTGTAGCTCAGATTATTGTTATGCTAATCTTTTTATTGAACACTTCAGGCCCGTTCTATTGCTATTCCAGTGTTACAAATTGAGCCAGAACCATTGGTGACCCTGTGATTGCCTTCTGTCCTTCAAAAGGTAAGCTGGTATCTCGGGAAAACTAGGTCTTGTGAAAAAAAAAACCCTAGAAAAAGTTTTTAGACAACTTTGCATCTCATTTTGATATTGTTTATTTACTAATTCATGTATTTATCAAATTATCTACATATTTATTGATCTTCCTATTTATCCATCATTTCTTTAAGAAATTAATAAAAAAAAGTTTCTGTTATTAGTTATTAAGATAAATTTTATTTCTTCATTTTATCTTTTATTGATGAATTATTTTTGTTTATTTCAAGTTATTGGGTTTATTCTTTTTAAGCTATCATTTGAAAATAGCTGTCTGCGACAGTGTATGTAGACGCCCTTCAATGGGTTGGTGTGACAACCGAAGACTGGACTGGACTGGACTGGAACTTCTCTGAACTGGACTTGAATGTCGGCTTTTCTGAATAGCACTTCGCTCGAATAGACAGGACCGCACTGCAAGAGGTTGTACCTAACTTGAGCCGGGCTGCATTGCACTAGACTCGACAGCAGTTGGCTGTTCTGGACTGGACGGGACTGGACTGAGGTGTTATGGATTGCACTACGCTGCACTGAAGTTGACAGGTCTAGACTCGACTGCAGTTTGCTTTTATGGACCTGGGGTGTTGCGGATTGAAATGCACTTGACTGGACGGGACTGAACGGAATTGGACGGGAATGAACCGGACTGAGCAGGACAGGACTGAACTGTCCTGTACTGGACAGTCCAGACTTAACTGAATGGACTGGACTGGACTTAACTGGATTGGACTACACCTCAGCTGACTGGACAGTACTGGACAGCACCTGAGTGGACTGGACTAGAAGGCACTGCACTTCACTGGACTGGACTGTTTTACACTGAGCTTGACTTTACCAAACTGCACCACACTACACTTCCTGGATTTAAATGGAAAGCACCATACAGGACAGCAGTTCACTGCACTTCACTGGGACTGATATGCACCGAAATGTATCGCACGTAGATGTAGTCTACTGGACTAGACCACACAGGATACTTTTGCGTGGCACTGAACTTAACTTGGAAGGACTGCTCTGGATTGCCCTAATTGTTAGGACACAAAAAAGTGTTGAAATATCAAACATGTCACCTCGTGTAATGAAGTAATGAGTCGGGAAGCCGCCGAACAGATTCTGTAAACAGAAATTTTTAGATTGTCCAAACGAAAAATAATTTTCATAAATGGTTACATGTTACCTCGGAAGCGTCCGATGCCTTACTTCTTTATAATGTGATCTGAAGTGAGTCACAAAACTTGTTACAATCGAGACATGCCAGCCTTACCTCCTTTAAATGATCTGTAGAGTTGATGGATACCAATTTTTTTTCTTCAACTGGTCGATGCGACGCATCGGGGCTTTCCTATCAGCGAGCGAACCCATCTTTCACAGGTTAGTATCACAACGTTATAATAACTCTTTACTTACCTTCTCAGTGATGCACGGCCCCCGAAAATTGGCTTTTCTTAAACTGCAGTAATTTTAAAATGTGTCAAGCTCTCGAATTGAAAAAAAAAATGGCCACTTTTACTTATATTCTTTCTAGCCAACTTGAGACAACTGTAACTCCTTTACTATACTGTACTATACTATGCTATACTATACTATACCATACCATACTACACTATATAGTGCTTAGATTTATGTGCAGTAATTTTTACTTATTTCGCCATTACATCTCTCATAAGAAGTCATATTCTCGAATTTGGAAGCGATAAGAACACCTGTTCTCCTTTCAATTTAAGATTTACTAGCTATGCTCTATATCAACCTTTTATGAGGGCTTTTGTGAGTGGAAGTCAATCTGCTTCGACTGACATTTATTTCCGTTACTCAGAAATTTAACGTACCTGTGGTTATGTCCTAGCTTTGGATTCTCTTCGTAGCTGTAGCTTAGCTTGTTGTTATGATTATCTTTTCATCAAACATTCCAGTCCTGCTCTATTGTTACAAATTCAGCCATGGATCACTGGCGACCCTGTGGTTACTTGTGTCTTTCCAGAGATCAGCTGGTGTCTCGGGAAAACTAGGTCTTGTGAGAAAAAATACCTGGAAAACTTTAAGGACAACGTTGTATTTCATTTTGATGTTCTACAGAAAAAAATCACGAATATATTAGTCATACGATAAAATTATATTTATTTACCAATTTACTTACATATTTACTCATCTTCCTATTTATTCTTTATTTCTTTATTTCTTCAAGGCTATGTAGCAGCACGAAGTAAGATATCGCTTTGATGAACCCCACCATGCTTTTTAATGAAAACAAAACAGTTTAAACATCAACCATCTTTAGTTGTATAATGAAAAATAAAATGAAATTACGCAATGATTAGTATAACAATGTGAGCTGTTAACAAGAATAATTAGGTAAAACAAAAACAACAAAAGTGAAACTATTTAAGCTAAGAAGGAAGACCAATTTGACCAGTTTGACCTGAGAATTTAAAGACGGCTGCTCCCAAAGATGTGCATGGCTTCCTTAATATTTAATTGGAAGCGTGTGGAAGCAGAGTCCAGAATTTTAAAACAATCTTCTAAACAAAGGGAGCGACAATTTCAGAAACTCTCAAGTGCTTAAAGATGTGGGAATGTTTGTCAGAGGAGAGATGTTCGCAGATGCGAGTAGAGACGTGTCTGTTGGTTTCACCAACATAACAGGCACGACAGCCTGCTCATGAAAACTTATAAATAACTCGCGATCGTAAACCCGCAGGGATAGGATCCTTGACTCCAAACCAACTCTTAATTTTAAACGGGGTGAACACCAACTTAATGTCAAGGTCGTTGGAAAATGTGCCGACTAATTTCTTGATTCTGCGTTGTTTTGTGATGGAAAAAGGACCGATGTACGGTAATATAAAATACAAACAATTTTCCTCAAGAGCAGCACTCTGCGAAGAATCGGAGGTGAAGTTATTGCTAAGAAATTTTCTTAGAACATGCTCGATGACGTTATTTCTTCAAGAGTTAATTACTGTTATTAGTAATTAACATATTTTATTTCTTCAATTTATCTTTTATTGATCAATTATTTGGTTTATTTAAAATTATTAGGTCACTCTTGTTAAGTTATCAAGCAAACAAACCGATCTTAAAACAGATTAATATCAGAAATTTATTATAATTCTTTACTTACCATCTCAGTGCCGTACAGCACCTGAACATGGGCTTATGTTGAGCCGCAGATATACGAAGTTCGAAATAAAAATGTTGAAAAGTCTTGACGAGTCCCCGAAAATGGACACAGTGAAGTTTTGAAATCTCAAACCTGAAAGCTGCAAGAACAATTTGCACTTGAAAGTGGATGACTTCCGTTAAATTTAAGACAACGAACAACCCCTCCGAAAATCGGCGAACGGCCAGTTAACACCAGGATAACTTTGCTTCAAGGGCTTTTTCATTGGCAGGTTGGGAAGTCATTGAAACAATCCAGTTCACAAGTCGAGCAAATGCCCCGGATTTGACGAATAAATTGCCTCCGAAAATATGCCAGTGTAAAGCTCCTGTAGTTGAAATTGCGTTTGTAAGATTTAAAACTTGTTTCTCAATAAAGAAAAGACACGGAGACGCTTGTATTTTTATTTAATGCTTGAGACAGAGTTTCACACCAAGGCACCGCGACTCTTAACTAAACAAAAACTTCACAAAGAAGAGAATAATCCCACATTATATAAAATTACTTTCAAAATCAATAGCTGAATTCACTCTCCCTTGATAGTCTCAATGTATGGAATAGCTCATATTTCCCACAAAATGTAATAAAATTGAGAGTAACATGTATCAATTTACGACTGGTGAGGCTCTGGCTTGATTTAGCTTAAGAGTGAAAATAAAGGGGTAATGCATGAAAACCTTGTATACTATTGACAAAACCTTAGAAAAGCATCGAAGCATCTTTCATATAATAGATTATTAGTTTTACACGAACGCTTACAAGTCGCACAAAATGCAATTTTACTTAAAAAACAAACAAAAATAAGCTTTCTCCTGCATATGACTGATTATATCAGTTAACTGGTTGTAAGCTTTGATATTTTTATTTTTGTTGTATTGCAGACATGTATTTTGGAAAATATCTTTGCAGCCTGATATTTTTTTCAGCTGGTTAGTTTCTCTATTCTTTCCTTCAAATTGTAAATATCTCGTATGGTAAAGAGGTAATTAAAGAAAGTTTATGACGTTGTTATTGAAAATGAGTTGGTACGGCGATATTGTATATTTGATCGAAGGATTAGCCAAACTAAGTTTTGTTTTATTTTACATAAATGAATGCCGTTTGTTGATAATCCCCATATCTTGAATACATACTAAAGTGCAAGCTACTTGTTGTTGACACGTGACCGTGACAACCGTGTGGAGAGTTGCAGCTTGACACACCGATCCCAAGTGAATAGTCGTCAGGGTTGCAGCCATTAGGTGATCGAGGAAGACTGGTGTCACCAATACAGCCTATGCGACAGACATGAGTTCCAGGCTCCTTATTGGGATCCGCTACCAAGTTACAAAGATTTCCTAAATTGAGGCCGCACCATTCCTTGCAAGACACAATTATGGAAGTGTGGATGTTAGGAAAATTGCGAACTGTCAATTTTATACAGTTGAGTTATTTGCTTGTAATCCATTTCATAATCTCTTCACTTTATGACAACAGTTGGTGCTCTTTTTTCTTTAGCTTTAAATTAAGATAAAATCTTTCTTTTGAAAATGCCCTATAACCCTAAGGCAAACAAAAAGCTTAACACTGCATAGTTTAAAAACAAGCATAGTTTACCAGTCTAGCGAATATGATTTTGATTCGATTTACTTACAGTTTTTAGGTGCCCCAAGTCCAAGTGTTTGCCAAGTTTTTTCATCAACGTTTCAAAAGTGTACTCCTCTTGAACTTCTACTGCGAACTGAGTTGCGAAGAGCTGGGTAAGAGTCAGACCTCTGTTGTGGGTGAATGTCGCGCAGTCACTACGAGGACCGCTGTAGCACATTCGTATAACTCGATTTGGTACAGAGAACCAACCGGGATTTTTCATAGATGTTGTTTTTGTAATGTCAGCTGCATCCCAGGGGCTAACTACATCCTCATTGGCCCAGAGAGGACTTGTGGGTGAGAAATCTCCGGACATTCCAGCCACTCGTGCAACTAGTGTCCAGCCTCCATTGTCTTTACATGCCGATGTGATAATTTCGCAATGTGCCTAAGCATTTCATATAAAGTATTATCCTTACTAGTTAAACAAGTGAACAAAAGATTTAATGAAAAGAATTATAAAAATTACTTCTCTAAATAAATCACATTTCAAAAAGATTCTAAGAGAAAGTTCGTTATATTAAAAAAAACAAGATTGCCTATTATTGGTTCACTATTATAGAAGGAAGACAGAGGTCATGGGACTTTACCTCTTTATCATGAATGCTAAGACACTAACCTGGTATGGGCTGCCGCGAGCAGCCTGGAGCCAGTAAACCCCACTTTGAACACCTGCTGATATTGAATGATAGATTTCATCACAGGATTTTGCCGGATTGTGAGCGGATCCAAGTCCTTCAGGAGGGCTGATTTAAAGGGGAAAATATTTTCATCATTAAATACACTGAAAACTACATGGACGATTTTGTCTGACATTTTGTACATTTAAGCTATCAGACACTTTCCTCAAATGGAAATAATTTCCCTTGGATAAATGATTTCTTCCCTTTGGTTACTATTTATTACAAACTACTGTCACCTTGGTTTGGGTAATTATAAGGGCATGCAATAGTTCAAACCCTGTGTTTATTACAAACTTCGATTAAAATAGTATCTTTCGATCCAGCCTTGTCCATCTTGGGAAGTTTTGCCTCGAGATGATAAAACTTTTAAAATTTATTCGTCAGAGTTCTCCGTAAATCCCCTTAAAACACATCTTACTTGAATATCAGTTACCTTCCATGATTTTCCGCCGAACCCAAAAAAATCTTGGCTCCAGTTATCATCGAATCTTTTAAGTTTAATATGATCATTCCATGCTAATTTGACTCACTAACAGTTATTGTCATTTTCTTCTTTCCTTTTCATAAACTCTCATACCACACTGACTGAATTTCATGAGTGCCCATTTTTTCTATTTTTAGAACAACGGAGCACATTTAAAAGAATTGTTGATTTATCCATGCAGTGTGTATCGGAGCTAAGTTGCCGAGCAGTGGTAGCATCACATTGATAGAAACTAACCTTTATGATAAATTAGGTCATTAAGCTGCCAATCAGTTAATTGACCAATGCAAACAACATTTACAAAAAGCTTTTATTAATTTTTTTCATTCGGTAGAAGTACACATTTAATAGTGAGAAAATTTAAAATGTTTCTATTTGTAGAAAACGGTAGGGCACAAACATAAATATTTATCGTATTAAACAATTTTTCTCTGTTGCGAAAAATCGCTAGATGGTATCTAACATAAAACTAGGTACCCTGCGTCTTAGTGCTTGAGTCAAATTTCCTGTGTACTCAGTTATTTTGAACAAACCATAACTCACAACTTGGAGCAAAACTTTCCACTAGATATTAAAAAAGAAAACTTGCTTGACTGCGTCGACTTTATTGAAAAGGAGACCCATGTTTCTCTGATGATTTTGTACGTAATAGTGAATAAAAATCAATAACCAATCAAGTAATTAGCTAAACTGAAAGTCAAAGACAATAACCATCTACAAATACCATCGCCTATGTCTTACGAGCCTACAAAATTAATACGAGAACATTGGAAAAAATAAAAAATTCCAAAAAGCTTGATGTTGTTTGCCCGACAGGTTTTATTTTTTTTGGCAGAAACATTTAAAGAAAGTTTGTCATTTACCTTTTGGCTTTAGTATTCCTATGTGTGAATTAAGAAATGATTGTTCAAGTGCTCGTCTACTGTATTGCTAAAGCCGGACAAACAGCAAACAACGATTAACTATTTCATTAGCTATAATAAGCTATAATGTAACGCACGCAAGTTTCTAAATCATCACTCAAGTGACAATATTTGATAATTTATTCTCTGTCTCCACTTCCGCTCTGATCTGTTTGATCTCCAAGATCGCGTGCCTGTCCTGTAATGTGAACATGTGGAACCTCTCTGCAATAATGGCACAATTATGATCAGGACTACAATCGGTAGTTTAAGCGATAAAATTAAAAATTTTCTTTGATTCAAAGGTTTGCTGTTTGTCCGGTTTGGCCAGAGAAGGATGTAGGTGGAACTTTTTTACCCGACCCTTCGATCTGTTTTTTTTTTTTTTTTTTTCACGTCCTGTATAAGCCGTGAATGTTAAATGAACCCTGATAGTTACACACTTAATTCAATTTTGCCACGTCTGTGTCCTTGTCTACCTCAGTAATAAACACCCTAGAATTATCTTACCCCACACACACATTACGACTATCATTTTTTTTCTTGCTTTGAAAATCTCTTCTGGGCTTATTGAGTACCACGAAAAACTAGGCCTGTTCAGAGATGTAAAGAATTCGACACGCTGGCAGCAAATAGTAATGTACCTACCCTCCCACTGGTGGGCCTTGAGGTACTGGCGGTGGAGATCCCGGGCAAGGACTTTCCACTGGAGGGGACGGCACTGACGCACAGTTACAGGGGGGGCAATCTCTTCCATCTCGCCCGTCTCTTCCTGGAAGACCCGGGGGTCCAGGAGGGCCTGGTGGTCCGGCACGAGCCGACGGACAAAACAAAATCTGAAATATCATTTCGTAATTTTCAATATTTCACAGGATCTTTGCCTCTAGAACAAACTGATATTTGACTTGGTCTGTTACTCAGGATCGTTTTCCTTTAGAGAAAACTGCAGGATCTATTTCGTCACAAAAAAAAAACTCGATCAACACACTACTCCTCAAGGCAGATCAGGTTATAGGTTTATCGATCAATTCCAAGTAGAATAAACCCTCCCTTGCTGCAGCGAGAAAAAAAGTGATAAGGATAATCTCCATACGGTTGCTTTCAACATGCTGCTAGATTGTTCTGCTTTCTTTTTTCCTCTGTGCCCTGCGCATGACAATCTCGTATGAACGTTCAATAATTATTACAGCAGTTTTAATGACGTTGCCTTCTCAAATTTCTTCATCTGATTCTCGACAAACCGACAAAATAGCGACACGCCGTAATATTATACATAATAATTTTTTTTTTGAGTTCTACATGGTTGAACGGTTGTAGCGAAAACGAAGACCCCTGAAAGCTAAGAACTAAGACCTAAGACCTAAGACCTAAGACCTAAGACCTAAGACCTAAGACCTAAGACCTAAGATCTAAGACCTAAGACCTAAGACCTAAGACCTAAGACCTAAGACCTAAGACCTAAGACCTAAGACCTAAGACCTAAGACCTAAGACCTAAGACCTAAGACCTAAGACCTAAGACCTAAGACCTAAGACCTAAGACCTAAGACCTAAGACCTAAGACCTAAGACCTAAGACCTAAGACCTAAGACCTAAGACCTAAGACCCAAGACCTAAGACCCAAGACCCAAGACCTAAGACCTAAGACCCAAGACCCAAGACCTAAGACCTAAGACCTAAGACCTAAGACCTAAGACCTAAGACCTAAGACCTAAGACCTAAGACCCAAGACCTAAGACCTAAGACCTAAGACCTAAGACCTAAGACCTAAGACCTAAGACCTAAGACCTAAGACCTAAGACCTAAGACCTAAGACCTAAGACCTAAGACCTAAGACCTAAGACCTAAGACCTAAGACCTAAGACCTAAGACCTAAGACCTAAGACCTAAGACCTAAGACCTAAGACCTAAGACCTAAGACCTAAGACCTAAGACCTAAGACCTAAGACCTAAGACCTAAGACCTAAGACCTAAGACACGAAAACGAAGACCAGTAAACGACACGGAAGACCCAAATAAGAAGACCCAAATAAGAAGACCCAAATAAGAAGACCCAAATAAGAAGACCCGAAAACAAAGACCTCTTTGTTTTCTTTATTTAACATGATCTTGTTCTGATTTCTTAAAATCGGCACTGGAAATATCCGGTGCCGATTTTTAAACAATCTCCAACACAATTTATACCAGCACGAATTTTTTCCGAGCAAGCTTTGTTTTCGGGTCTCTGTTTTGGGCTCTTAGTTTTCGTGTCTTGGTTTTTAGGTCTTCGTTTATGGGGTCTTTTTATATAAAACCGCTGTTTTATTGCATGCCTTACCGCTATTAAAAATAATAAAACCGGAGATGGATATTTCCGGTGAGAAACCATAACAAGATCATGTCTTAATAAAGAAAATAAAGGATCTTTGTTTTCGGGAGTCTTCGTTTTCGTTACAAGCATTGATCGAACTGATTTTTTGGCCCCATACGGCTTAGCTATTCACAGGTATTGCGAAGGTCATGGATTCAATCTTAGAACCTGCAACGTTGTATTTTTTCTTGTAAATACCGTTCGGTGATTAAACAGTGAAGTCGCACTCGGTTAGCAACTGAAAAAAAAAAGAAAAAGAAAAAGCAAACAAAACAGAACAATGTAGAACACGAGTTCTTATATGTGAAAGACGAAGGACTATATAGCCTTACAATGTGAAAAGCCTTTATATGAACAAAGGATTTCATGTAGTTCAAAGTTAGCAGTTTTAACTACTCATTTGGCTCATACTGGCTGCAGTCTGGGGAAATGAACAGAATTGTTTACTTGTTCGTGTATATAAAGTCGGTTGCAAATCGACTCCTTATTTACAGATCTTCATATCGAGCCAGGCTCCATTTGTCCACGAGCACATGGCAGTATTCACAGTCAAATAACAACTTTCCTGATATCCAGCCACGAATTTTCGTGAAGAAAACGCAGATTTAAAAAAAAACCTTTCTCAATTCTTAATCAGGAGGTAGTCTACTTAAACACATGACGCACTTAAACTAATAACGCTAAATTTACATTACATATCCTATTAATTTATATTTGTTGACCGGATTGAACCTGTTACACAAGAAAATCAGCCTAATGGTACCATAATATATTTTTTTCAGCAGTGATTTCACAAGACAAGCAAAAGAGAACAATCCTGTTTTGCTTATGTTCAGAACTCTTATTTGAAAATTTAATCGAATACCGGAGAAGCATGGAAACGGAGGAAAAGAACCATAGCTACTCACCTTTCCTGGGTTGACTGTGTACGATCTTCTGGTGTGTTGCTCTTCCTGAGAAGCCAAAGAAACCACCAACAAATGTAAAGTGATAAAATGAAATATTTTAGGAAAATACATTATTATCACGGCTGCTTTGGGTGTTGATACAAATCTTTCGTGCGCCTTTCAAAAGTGACTAAAAAAGGTTACTGCTCAATAAATTTGTTTTCTCAGTCGATCCTGCGTGGTTAGTGGATAATTGTTCGTTTTAACTGGTAGATTTGATTTTAAACCAATGGAGGATAAGAGCAGGACTCTACATTTGCGGGTGGTACGAACAAGAATACGCTAAGACATTCTTTATGTAATTCGCTGGAACCTTATCTTGCGTTTCGAAGTCTTCATTAATTAGTGTATCAGATCATTGAATTCATTTCCAAGATCTCCTAGAGTCCAGTCTTACTCGTTTGCATTTCGTATGGAAACAAAACAAACATGGCGGCTTCCTCTGCGATTCGCATGGTCTTGCAAAAGCAGGTTGGGTTGATACGTCGAGGATTATTTGGTGAGTTTTTTTATCATTTGCCCTAAACAGAGTTTTTCATGAAACTGCTTCCGCTGCTGGATTGAATTAAGTTTACGCAAGAGTGTGAAATAAGCGAGGTTCTTGCAGCAGCATCAGTTTTTGAAAATCTGCTTGCATAACCGAGTTAAGAAATAGCCGGTTTAGTTATTTTCACTGACTTTTTTGCTACACTTAAATTATGATCACATGGTCTTATTGCACAGGTATCCCAAGCAGATGGCTGCAAAAGTCCTCCCATAACTTATCGGAGGAGAAACAAAACTCAGCGGACAGTCGGTAGGCGGCAGATTATTGTGTTATGAGACTATCAGACTATCACTGATGTTATCAGACAAATCAGTTTACTGCGCCCTTTTGATTACGTAGAAATTCTTTAGGAAAAAAACTCTACATGCATAGCTGTTACTGAGCTTTGAATCAAACAAAATAAAAATAAACCTTGCCAATAATAAATTATGAACACATTTTACACTGGAATTTTGTATATAGCCGTCTTTTAAAAATCACAGGCGGCCCAAGCTCACGTCTCGAGAGAAAGCAAACGATTAATTCATGAAAACGTCACGCGTAGTGTGACTCATTGTTAAGTTAAGAGAGGGACCGTTGAGAATTGAAACACGTTATAAGGAGTAGTGTGGGGAACGAATTATGATTGATTTATTATTCCTGTTACAAATAGGCTGCCATGTCTACTAAAAGGAATGGAAAGTGGCTGTTGTAATTGTAGTGAGGTGGTTGTTGAAATTCTTGATGAACGTTTATTTTCTTTCCTCTCTATTACTATTTCCAAATTCTGATATTTTTCTTAATGGAAAAGAAATTACTACTGCTTGTGATTTTTGATGAATATAGAAATGAAGCATTTGACAGTGCAAGTACTGAGAGTGCAAACAAGAAATACTTTGGTGATGATGATGGAGCTGCCTTTATTGATGCAGATGAAGATCAAGAAACAGATGTGCGAGAACACATCCTTAATGCTGCACTTGAACATGTGCACGAGTTAGGTTGGAGTTCAGAAGCTATAGAAGCTGGAGCAAGTGCTGTGGGGCTGTCTGCAATGGCAGAGGGCATGTTCCCTCGAGGTGCTGGGGATTTAGTCCTTCATTTCACTGAGGACTGTAATGTTCGTTTGGCAGATCATCTTGTTTCACAGTCTAAATCAGCAGGGAAGGAGGAAACATCTGGAGTCCCATTGTTAGTGCTGTTAAGATGTTTTTTTCAATTTAGAGTAAATTTGATTCTGTGTCCCAAGGATACTACTTACAAGTAAATATATCTTACTAGACATTCTGGTCTATGGTAGGGTTGAGAATTTTTATGAATGGTGCTTCATTTGACAAAGAGTTAAAAATAATCAATGATACTACACACCAAAGTGCCTATTTAGTTATTTACTATCCAACTGCTCTATTTTATGCGCATTTCTTATCAGGTAAGAAAAGTGAGGCAGATAGAGACTGAAGTGAAGCATGCGCTGCTGATCAGTTAAACAGGTTTTTTCCAAGACAAAATAACGATCATGTGATATTTATATTGAATTTGTGCGTTATTTGTACTCTACTTAGTGCAGTTGGATAATAAATCTTATTCTTTTTACATGTGTTCAAATAATAGTTTTGTTCATTGTAATCATGTAATCTCCATGGCTCTTTGTAAGTAATGCAGGCCATTTTCGCCATAATTGCCAATAAACTGCACTTGGGGTTAAATTTGAGATTTTGAAAATATATTAAGAAGAGAACATGCATTTTTAAATTTTTTATTACATCAAATAGATTAGTTATCAAATGTAAATTGTAAAAGTCATTAATTAGTTTCACTTAGTTGAATTAATTCAACTTTATTCAGGCGAAAGAGTTCTCAGATGATAATCCGTGATGCTGTGGAAGTGCGACTGAGAATGCTCATTCCATTTATTGACCAGTGGCCTCAGGTAAGTAACATGCCTGTCTAGATGTCAACTGACTTGATAATGTAAAGAGTTTCAAAGCTGAGGTTTTGAGTGTTAGCCCTTTTTTTAAGGCAATTGCGGGAATTGTGGGTTGTATGTGTGTTTATATGCAGAAAATGGAGCAACCCTATTGGTAGGAATATGGTGATGAGAAAACAAGAAGGAATATTTTAATGAAAAGCACTTGTTGATACCATGTGCATTATGAGTGCTGATTTGGAAGATAAATTTTTGTTCTAGAGTTTTGCAGCTGCTAAGAATGGTTAGGGAGATTAAAGTATCTAGTGACTGGTTTGGATGCCACCTTGTCATTTCTTTGTACATTGTTAAGGTGTTCTTGGAGATGCAGAAAGAAATTGTACTTTGTACTTTTGTAAAACAATGAGGGGACAAGGGTTAATTACTATGGAAGAGTGCGGAGCCTTGAAGGACAGCACTTTGACAAACTTTTTTGATAAAAGAGATGAGATGTGCACCCAAAACTCAACTTTTATTATTTTGTGAAAATGTTACAATTGACCATTCAGCAAAAAATAAAAAAAACTATTAGCCACCCTGGTGACCAAAATGGTTGCAGCTAGGATTGCTAATCTGGAACTTCAAGAAGGTCCTAGTTGTCTTGTAAACAATTGTTCCTTTAGAAACCCTCAGAGTGTTGCAGTTCAGGCTAGAGGTACCTTACATAGCTGGACTCCAGAAATTAATGTGGAAGGCATGCTTACCAGGGTCAGAAAGGATATTAACAAAAGTATTGGACATGAAATTAAAGGAGTAAAGAGTCATAAAGGCTGAAATTCTCAAGGGCTGTATGTGTTTAAACCTGAATGTCAATGGATTTGTCCAGCTTTGTTGTGATAATATTATTATTATATTACAATAATAATAAGTTGTGTTTTTATAGATGATGAATGTTAGTTGCATCTTAAAGGTTAATTGCCAATTTTCTGTTCCCTTTTTGCACACAGGCCATGGGTTTGATGTTATTACCTCAGAATGCTCCTGATGCCTTGAAGAATGTTGCATATTTGGTAGATGAGGTATGGTATCATGCTGGTGACACCTCAACAGATGTAAGAAGTGAAAACATAATACCTTGCTTTTAAATTCAATATCAAATGATGTATTTGTCAGCAGCAAAAATATTTCCCACACAAACTCAATTTTACTTGACATGGAAATAACAATAATTAGAGATCTGAAGTAACAATTTTCAAATCATCAAATTACTTTCTCTCCCTGCATTATAATATGAAGGTATTACCACCCCTGCCTTGTCTCATGATAGTTACTTTCAATATATATATAAAACCACATTCAAAATGACTACATCATGAAAAAACTGCTTCTGTATTCTCTATAGTGGATAACCACAATGTGTATGAAATTGATATCAAGCAAGTTAATTTGCCACAAATACAACTTGTGGTAACTGTATGGGTATTAAAGTCTTGTGTCATAACAGCCATGAAGTAAATCAATAATTAACTAATAATGTGTAACACCTTACAGGTAAACTGGTATACAAAGAGAGGAGTATTGGCAGGACTGTATGGTGCCACAGGTCAGTTAAAACCATGAAGATATGATAAATTACAAATAATTTATTTAAACAATATTTTGATAGGATGTTCCAGAGGGGAGGCACTGTGAGCTAAAGGAATATTTGTAACGGCTGCAATGTTGTTTTAAAATTCAGTTATGACATCATAGTCACATATGACATCCATCAGAAAATGAGAGTGGTCATATTTCAGTTGGACTACCTTTGATAATATGATTGGCTTCACTCATTATGAATTTCGTGTCTGGGCTGATTGAAGAACATTGAGTGTTAATACTTCTTTTCCTGCACACTATTTTTTTGTTTAAAGTAAGCAGACATTATAGAAATTAGTTTAATATGTGTACTGGTTCTTGTCATTTGCTGTAAGAATGACAGAGTTGCTGTTAGAATAGTTTATGAAAATTACATCAACTTGTCATTCCTCTGAGAAGGAGTATTATTTTCCTGGCATTCTCCAGTCCTTCCCTTCCTTACAAGGATACTTCATTTTGGTGGGAACCTTGTGATTTAATTGTTCATCTTATAGAATCTAAAACTTGATAGTATGTTTATTATTTCATTGCAGAACTTTACATGGTTACTGATAGGTCATCTGATTTTGAAGATACTTGGGGTTTCCTTGACAGAAGAATGTCTGATATTGGTTTACTAATTGGTGCCAAGGAAACTGTTAGTAAATGAGAGAAACAAATAATTTATTGTAATACAATAAGTGGTTATTGTTCATCATGGTGTAAAATAGGAGATGAACTTTCTTTGTTTGTCTCACAATGGAGTCACTTTGGATGTTGATTCTGACATTTTGACTGCAAAACTGCTAGTATTCATCAGGTGATACGGTTGATTGTTCATGTATCATTATTTGTAGCTTGTTGGTTTGCTGCTATTGGTGCATTTCCATACAAATAGAGATGCATAAACAATCTACCTCATCGCCTGACAAAGATTAGCAGTATTGCAGTTGAAACATCGCGATCAGTATCCAAACTGAGTCCATCATGAGACGAACGATTAAGGTTCATCTCCTAGATACATTATTGTTTGATCATGATAAATAATGCAGATTTTCCTATCTCCTTTTAGTTGAATGCACAAGGAGGTAAGTTTCAGAACCTGAACAATTTATGAAACAGATGACATTCAAGCAATCAATGTCAACTAATCCATTGATTTAGGCAATCGATATGCCCGTTTTTGTGATTATGGATTGATCAACTGCATTAATTTGATAATCGCAAATCACTGACAATTGATGAATCAAAAGAACATCAGTTGTCATTAATCACCAATGTCAATTGACCACCTTTGCTACCATCAGTTTTTGTATGACTAACACTAATGATAAAGAAGGCGCTGAAATGTTTGCAAATGTTTTTACATGTAGACTACTAAGTGAAGTTAATTATGCCACAGTGAATTACACAAGTTTTATAAGTTGGAAAAGTATACTTAGTAAGATCTTGTCTGCAAGTATTTACAGTGTCCACTACTTAGAGAAGATTATTGATTGAATTAAATAAATCAGCCGATGAACTTTGACTGTTCCCAAGGCTCATTTTCACATCATATTGTAAACAATCAAAGCGGTTTATGGTGTTGGGTTTGTACCTGGGAGCTCACTTGAACTAATATTAAATGACATGAATGATTAACTCTTTAATAAAATAATAATGATGTTTTTATAGCTTGAGAAAGCAGGATCAGATGCTGCTGAGTTGTTGTCTGCTGCCTTTACAACAGTATGTTTTGCTTTCCTATTCAAACTGCTTCTTTGGAAGTGGTTCTAATCATAGCAATAGGGCTATTGTTGCAACATCAACCATCACTTGAAAGAAACATGAGCTTTTCATACCATTGAAATACGTTAGAATGTATTACAGATGGTGTAAAGTACTGATATTTTAGAGAGTGTTGTCTGCTCTACATCATATATACAGTTGAACCTTGATTATCCAGACTCATCAGGACCAGACAAAATAGTCTGTATAATTGAGGGTACGAATAATCGAGAATATGAGTATTAATGAGGAACAAAAACTGATTAAATTAAAAGGGCATTTAGTCATGGAACAAAACATTTAAATATCCTCTTGTAAAAAATATGGTCTACATCTTCACTGTTTATTGCGAATACTTTTACGTGTGTGTATTAACAATTAATTAAATTAATCAGCACTTTATCAAGCTGTTCATTTTGTGCTACTTTCAGTGATTATGCTTCAGTCCTTCAATGGTATCTAAGTTGTCAGCAAATTTCATTATATTTTCCTTGATTGGAAAAAAACATTTGTGACGCTGTGTAGCTTGTTTATCTTGCATAGCACACTGAATGAGCCGATAGAGCGTGAAATTTCACTTAGCAACAAAGCAACTTTAAGCCAATTAGACCTCGTTGGAATGTTCTTCATTTATTTGTGCAAACGCTGCTTTACACTGCTTTTGCTTTTTGAAAGCAAAACAAATTCGCCTCTTGTTCACTTTTCAATGCTGTAGTTTTAAAAAGAATATGGCTACAGATCTTGATCATGTTTAATAAAAATTCATAACAAAATTGGAACCAGAGAAAAAGTCTGGATAATTGAGAAATCTGGATAAGCAAGGTCCAGATAATTGAGGTTCGACTGTATTAATATCTACTACAAATTTTTAAGCTGGCTTCCTTCTCATTTTAATGTGTATGTGTTGTTTATCATTTTTCATTGGTTAATTCTCACCCTGTCCCACACTTCTTTTCCTGTTGGTAGCAGCTAATTCACTAACAGTCAGGGAAGGGATTAAAGTTAGCTTATAGTGATAGTAGCACATCATAGTGCCGATTTTTCAGCTGACATTAATATATTACAAGCTGTTGATGGGTAATGGGGGAAGACTGAAATTTAACTATTCATAACTTGACTAGAAATGTGTTGAAAATTTGATGGCAGTATGTTAGTGGTCTCTGCTGTCTAATACTGATAACACTATGTCCAAATACAAGTTACACCCATCCTTGCCTTGAGCCTTTTAATATATTAATTGGTTAATTAATGCATGAATCTATTGAACTTCATCGCTTGTTTACAGGTGCGTAATATGAGTGGCCTTAATAGGCGAAGCAGATGAAGTCAACAGAGATGACTGGAAGTACTTGCATACTTGAATCCATGATTCAGCTACTCAAATAACAAATTGGAAGGTGGAAGGTGAATCATGCAAAAGCAGTGATTGTAACCATGCAGAAGTTACAAAGCTGATGGTTAACAGAAGTTTGTTTTTCTAAGCAGACCTGTTTGCAGTGAGAAATGCATTGTTGATTGTTCATGACTGAAATCTTTATTTGTACTGTTTCCTGTACCTCGGAAACAGAATTATACTGCTACTGGCAGTGACAAGTTTTATACTGATGTGATTTTGTTTGTGAAGTGGTGACAGACCTAGTTTTTGCTACATGTATAAATTCTTTTTGATGCTTATGGGTTAGAGAAAGTTATTGAATATCCATACTGTGAAAGTGCAATGGTAACTTAAAGAATTAAATGTTAACTTAGTTATCAATGTTGGTCGTATTGATTTATGAACTTCTGACAAAGGTCAAGCACTTCCTTTAATATGATTGATGTTTCTTGAATTATAATAAATACTCTCTTCTTAGCCTGTGGGTTTGTTCTCCAGTACCCTTTTTTGGTGTTTTCCACAACCTTAGATCAAAATGATCTTAAAACCTATACATTTCCCATGACCAACCCTAATCCTATGCCTGACTGGACTATTGGAACTGTAACCCTCAATAGTGAACACTTCATAGTTCTTAATAACGTGCACAGCATGAAAGCGCAAATCTACACATCTTTAACTCTTGCATAAGAAACATAAATATAAAGCCTCTTCTTTACAGACAAGTTCTGCGTTCTGTTAAGATGCGTAAATGCAGAAAAAGCGTAAAGACTGCGTACAGGATATTAAATGTTTGTACAGGATATTAAATGTTCGTAAAGGATAAGGATCAAGATGGATACAATTAACCACTTTCTATTTGGAGAAATACTCAACAATACTGTACATCACTTTATAAGTCCTCCATTGCAATTTTATTTTATTTTTCAATAATTGTGCACAGGATCACTTAGCAAGTAGGTATTACAACAGTTTCTTATATTGAAAAGGAGAATACTAACAATTTAAAAAAAAAAATTTCCTGAAGAACTCGAGTTATGTACTTTTCTTGCAGTAAATTCTTATCTACCGCAATTATTCAAGTCTACCCATCTACTATTAAGAAATTATATCCAATGCTGTTTCTCTCCACAACTCCTTTCCCCCCCCCAAGTGAGATCTTATATTAAACTGCAATGCTGTCGCAAAACCAAATATTTTCAAGTAAGGTACTTACTTAATCCTAATTAAATCATCAAATTATACAGTTAATTGAGACAATAAATATATTTACTAACTAGAAGCATGTATCATACATAGAACTTGTTCAAAATATTATACACCATGTTCTTAAAGTTAAATTTACATCTTTATGGTGCAATTGTTGCCTTAAATACAGCACAACCATTGTAATTAAGAGCTGACTGAGAGTTGTCCAGGGCACCATGGACAAAGAATATTTTGCATTTACAGCCACAGTTTTAGGTTCCTCCTGGAACAAAGTCATCCATTACATTAATGTCTGGTTAAAGCTGGCCCAATGACGCAATAAACAAGTTATTGACAAGGGGAGTTTGTAAATCTTAGGGTTAGGGTTAACCCTAACCCTTGACCCCTTAACCCTAACCCTAAGATATTATTACTGATTTTAACAGAAACTGTTTTGTCTATGGACAGATAACATTTTGAAGCCAGCAAGAATGTTTTGGAAGTGTTTATGTCACTGCTTGTGAAGGGAAAAGATCTGATCCTTCTTGCACAACTGTTGTTTTGTTTTCAGAGTTAAAAGCTGATGCCTGAATGCCAAATAACAGCATATACCTTCAATTTGCCTAAATCATAGTATTTTAAGAATCCATTTGTTCTGCAACATTCTCACTGCCAAAAATAGGCTCAGAATTTCTGTCCTCTATGGATGTAATTCACTTGCAGTTTTGTCAGTTTGGATATTTTTCAAAAGTTGGTATACTAAGGCAGGTTCCATTAATGCTGGACCTGGTTGAACCATTAGATAATTATGAAAATCTCCTAGATCAAGTTGAAATTTGAGAGTAGGAAAAAAATCAGAACAGGGCTCAAAGCTCAAAGTTTTTCAAATAAAATGTGAAGAACCAAATAAGGAAAAAATTACATCTGTGTAATATTGCACCACATACACTTGCACATGGTCTTGAGACTTGCATGTAGATCACTAAGGATGAGTAACATTGTTTGCTAATATTTATAAGTAATTGACACTCACTTTGAATTAGGATCTGTTACAGCTTGATACTTGTCAAACCGCTAACATAGTTTGTGAAATTAGCAACTTTTTCTACCTATTTAGTGGCCAGAATTTTGTCGCAGTGTCTCCAATCAATTACAACTGTGAGCACTCGGAGAACGACATTTCTGATCTGATGACAAAAACATTACTAAATAAATCATGTACAACAAGAGTACAGCCACTGGTTTATTGATAAATAATGGTTCTTGGACCTATGAAAGGGATGAATTTTCTTTCCCTTCATTTTCCAGGAAATGATTATCTACATTCAGATAGTTAATAATCTTGGATGGCAATGGTAATTCATGAAGCTTATCGCAGCGTGAATTTTGTCGAATAACAAACCTGCAAAGATGTTGGAGAGAGGGAAGTTCTTCAAACCTTGAAACTGGTGTTGTAAGTCGAATGGGAAAAGTGGGAAAGCCTAGGAAAGTTGATGCCTTTGAAAAACACATTGGCCCTTTTAGGGACATTTTCATGGATTTCTTGATGAGTCCTACCACTGTTTTAGTTCCCATTTCACCTGGAGGAGCAACAAAGTAAAACATACCATTTCCATAGCGAATCCTTGTATGGCAGGTTCTTCCTCTACACCTGTAACTTACACTGTACAAGTGGAATTCATGGGAGCTGTCCCGGACCAAAAAGCAACCATCAGGTTTATCTTGCAAATAAACCTCAGCTTCAAACTGGTCTATAGGCCCCCAGTACCAACTGTGATGTGAAAGTGACTCTAAAGATTTGGTTAATGGAAATGAGTATTGCTGGCAGCTTATTTCAGTAGCTGTTTGCGGACACTTAGCATTCAACTGCTTGTCGACACCTTCAATGGTCGGCACTGGCCTGAATCCTCTATCACATGGGTCTAGTTCATCGAGCGATATTGTCAACGATTTTACAAGCTGTCTTTGTTTTTTTCTAGTAAAGTGTGATGGCAGAGGTATGGGAGGAGGGGGAGGAGGAACTGCTCTTTTCTTCGTTGGTTCTACAAATGGATTTCCCTGTGCAGTTTCGAAATTCAGCCAGCTGGATGTGCTGCAGGTGTCACCAGCTTGTTTACTACACTCAAACGTGTCCTCCTCTCTTTTTGCCTCCATTTCCTTGGATTGCATTCGAATAGAAAATGACTTTGATCGAGAACGTTTCGCCCCCGATCGACTGAAGGACCGATCTTTAGCGAAGCCAGGAAAACTAAGCGTTTTGTGCATCAGTGAAAGTCTAGTTGTAGTTTTTGGTAATTCATTGTCTTCGATGCTTGAGTACGCTGTCAAAGATTCATTTGTTTCTTCAGAATCAAAATGTTTTGCTGATGAATCTTCTGAACATTTACGACGTCGAAATTTCTCTCTGAGTTTGAGTAATATGTTCTTTGTTTCACCAAAGGTGTCATCTGTTTGCGCGGCAGCCAAACTTTGATCGACTTCATCAGTTCCTGTTACCAAACTTTCTCTTACAGCAGCTGTTTTTTCCACTCCTTCATTCCCGTTTGAATTATCATCTGTGTCTCCGATGAGGTCGTAAACTCGCTCTTCTCCTTCTTTTTCCGACTCGTTCATAATCCACCTCAATAGCTCTCTCTCTAATTTAAAAAGCGTCTAAACATTACAATTATTATATGTTGGATGTACACCTCTAGGAACGAGTTGTCTGGGTTAACGCGGTATACTTGAGAGTGTTTCCATGTCCAGAACACAAAATTTACTCGAAATTATAAACGCTTACGTGTCAACTAGAGGGTGTCTTTCATGACAGAACATTAAATTTCAAATAATCTGTGAAAGGGATGACTTCCAGAGACTAAAGACAATGTTGATGCGCTTCCTCTGTCTCACAAGCAGACGTAAATGCGGAAGACGTCATATGATGGTTACACATATCCTTTAGCTGTTTCCGAAAAGCCGCTGGAAAACTAGTGTACCGTGGAAACATAACTTGCCATTTCGGTTATTTTCTTAGTTTTGCGATCGTTAAATTATTTCTAAGGATTATGAATGCTTAATTTTCCTCTCAGAAAACTCCTGAAATGATATTATGAAATGAAAATTTCTTTCTCCTTTGGGTTGTTGGTTCTTCTGTGGCGGCAGATATCTTCCTCGTTTATTGATGTAACTGAGCGAGTTGGTATTTCAGCAATCAATGGCTATTTGGCAGCGTTTGGCGACTTTAATGGAGATAAACAGACCGACTTGTTCCTTGTCACTGGTGAAGGTAATAATCTTGTCCTTCAGGGGTAAAATAAGGAATCTAGGGCAAGGCGGCAGTATGTTATAAAATCAAATATACTTAATTAATCATACAGATTATAATTGTGTATTGCATGCATTGTATGTGATTTAAAACTTATGAAAAAAACTACCGACATTTTTCTCATCTCTATGAAATTTTTATGCAAAAAAACACTGGTAGTGCAGTAGGAGCACGTCTTCTCCTTTGGCCGCAACAGCAAAATCTGCTAGATGTGTCGAGAGACTGGTAGATCTAAACCAGAAGACGTTGTTTTAATGGTTACTGCCTCCTATGGAGGTGAAGCCTTAAAGGTGTCCTGTTGAGTGAGTGAGTGAGTGAGTGTAACTGTAGAATACGAGCGACTTCCCAGCCCACTATGAATTCTTCGGAGTTTTACCTGATATTCCTTACTCGTGGCTTCTCTTTGTTACAGAACATCTCCGCCTGTTCAAAACTCGGGTTGAATTTTTTCGAACTGCTTCGAATGTTATTCGGAATTAGCACGTGATTACTCTGTTGATCGATGCTACTTAATGTTGTTTTGGATTACTAAAGAAGATTATAAACATCTCACAATCATCTCAGGATGGGACATGAAAAATAAAAAAGCTTTAGCTTGCAGAAAGGTCTGTCAAGGTGTAATTGGCGCACCATGTACATTTAGAGAATAAAAAATTTTCTTTGAAGAGAGAGCATTTTACTATTTTAATCAGGGAATTATGCACAGCAGATCCTAAGATATTATTTTCTCAGTTCATGCTGTAACACTGCAATAGATGATAAACATCAAGTACTATCATTTCTGGCATGTAATTGAAAACAAGAGTTTTCCTTGCAAAAATGCCTAAATAGAAAACTTTGAAGAAAATCAGACATGGTTTGATGTTACTCTGGTTTACAGATTTAATGAATATAACCAAAGCAGTTACAATTCAGAGACCCAATGTTTCAACACTCCTGTCTAGTACCTTCATCAGGGGTGATCTAAACACTGCAATAAGATGTCCTTTTATATGATCACTAATTAGCAGCCTTTTTTCTGACGAGGTGTAAATAGGCGTCAGGAAGCAAACCACCATCATCATGATTTAAAGGAGCGTAGCGGAGTTAATATGCCAAGCCTCCAAATAAAGGTGCTGGTGGTAACACCGATTAGTGGTGATAATTTTAGAATTATGGTGATAATTTTAGAATTATGGTGATAATTTTAGAATTATTACATTGCAAGGTCCAAATACGATACCTAAAGTTTAAATGGGTGACCCTATTCAGCGGGATGATGGAATGGTGGAATGTGTGATACAAAAGTCTCACAAATTTGGAATTACAATGAATTAAGTAAATAACTTATAATTAACAGTTGAAATTGAAAGAAACATTTGTTTATCGTTATTTGAACTTAAAGGGTAGACTTATAGATGGAATAGTGAGGTTCTCGAGCTAGCCCCCATAAACTATAATTACTATTAATTATTGTTATCATTATTATTATTATTACTTTTTTAGAAATTTTTTTTCATCATTTAATTATTGGTTGTGGGTCAACTAGTCACTATATTTCTGAATCACCTTTCTCTTGTGGAACAGGGTACTCATAAATATGTGGGATGCAGCAGGTTTTCTGTTTTGCATATTAGACAAATCTTCTGCAACATTATATTCTAGCATCATTATATAAACTCTATTTTTTAAATGCTTTAAAAATTGTGCTATATCAGCAGCCATATGCAGTCTTAAACTGTTTATTTTTAAATATATTTAGCCCTTATATAGCTACTGTAATCTTTGTGTCAACTTACTGGCATTATTAAGTTCAGCACTTAAATGTTGCTGTGAGAGTAAGTGTAGTTACAAGATTGTTTCCTTTCAATTTTGTAATAACATAATTGTTCAAATTTAACCTATAGTAAAGACAAAGTAAATAAGTAATGTTTATCCATCCCTGGTCTCATCCTTGTCACTGATGTCTTTTAGGGAATCAGATAATTTGGTTTAATTTAAACTATAACAAAATTCTCGAACATGATTGGTCATCACCAGCCCAATTTGAGCACTAATAGGACAGTGTTTGCATTATGCTTGTAATTGGACATTGTAAAAGGACAGTTAAAGGGACACAGTGAACACATTATGCCTATGTAAGTGGACAGAATGCATCATGAGCGTGTGCTGTTGTCTTGCATTTTGCTGAGTTAACTTTTGATTTTTTTTATGAAAATGTACAACTGATTTCTAGTTTCTTTCTCAAATTTTGTAATAGTTTTGATTAATTGGTAACAGTTCTTCGTGTTGTCCAATTGTGTCTGTAATTATACTTGTGATTAACAAATTGGACTCCTGCTTCAAGGCCATCTGATTTGTTTTTGTATCATTACAGATCGAATTGGACTCCACTTGGACTCCACAATTGCTTTCAATTAAAGTTATTGCCAAACATCAACCTAATAACTCTTCACAATGGCTAATTTACATACATACATAACCAAAATGGTCTTATCATACTCCCCCACTTATACAGCACTACTAGTTTCTTTAGAAACTTACCCCCTTTATTCATTTGTCTTTTAGGGAATAAGTTGGAAATATTTTTGTGGAGTGGATCAGAGCAAAAGTTTAGAAAAGGAAGGGTTTCAATTTCACTGCAGAGGTAAAGAGTTTGTCATTATGTGGAGACATGTAATGGCATATGACATGTTGAAGATACATGTATATGGCAGATTTAAACAGCCTTCCTTTTTGTCTTAAGAAACTAACTTTCTCTTAAATTAAGCTCTAACTTCCTTGATGATATTATTCATGAGATATTTATTTAGTTTTTTTGAGGTTTACATTGTGTTTTGTTTTTAGTTTTAAATTTGGAATTTGTCTCCAGGATAAAATAATTTAAAGTTATTGGTTCAAGACAATGAAAAAAGTTGTGTTGGAATTATTAGAATAGTTTTGAAAGGCACATTATTGACTTTTAAAGTGCTTCCTCTAAGCTTATTGATTTAGGTCTTACCAAAACAAATACTTAGGATTATCTTAAGGTGTTGCCTTCAGGGAGCTATAAGAAGACAAACCTCAGTGAGGTTCTTTGCATGCACTTCAGGAAGAGGTAAAAGACCTGTAGTGTTTCCAAAGACTGCCTAAAATGCTACTGAGAAGCTTGCTTGATAGCTCATCTTTGAGCAAAATGTGCTACTTCTTTTTAACTGTTTAAATTAATTGCATATTGCCTAATATCTATTTCTTCACCTTTGCTTTTCAACCATTCTTTCTGGTAGCAAAATTGTGAATGTGAGTCCCATAGACTTTGATGGTGATGGCTGCCTTGATGTTTTGATTGCTGCTGAACCTCAACACAATTCTAAAACAGAGAAGAATGTTACTGTTTATGTGTACTGGGGAAACTCACAAACATTAGGTATGCTTAAATTGCCCCCATCTGATGTACCTGTACAATGTAATTCAGACATCTTGGTTGGTAATCTCTGAAGAAAATATTATGTTTACATGTAGTTGTCTAATTGCCTCAGTGTGTGCTAATTAATGGAGCATGGTTGTTTATTTTTAATGATCAATGAATCTTAAAGGGTACTGTCAACTTACTGTCAACAGGGGTGTTTTTCAAACAAAAAATGTTTGATTGTCTTGCCTGATTCTCCAGGTGAGAGTAGTCTTAGAACAGATGGTTGTTGGTAGCACTCACTGACGTTTTGACAAATGTTAAGTTGTTGAACGAAGAACAGTCTTTCACAGAACTACTCTCATGTGGACAATCAGATCACACAATCAAATGCTACTCCCACACACTAATATCATAAGAAAATAAATTATTACCTAATTCATTGATTTATAAGCATTGGCTGTACTTAATGCAAGAAAGCTAAGGTTTTGTAATGTGTTGTGTGATAAAAATTGATTTCTTGTTGAATTTTTTAGTTGTTTATAATCTTACGAAAATTGTGAAGAGAAAGTTAAAAAGAGATGCAACTCTTTTTTTGCAAATTAACCTTTAATGTGCCCAATTTGACTTGATGAACAAATTTCCTCCTTAACCTTCACAATGCAGTGAACATTTTGCCCTGCTACTTTTGGTTGCCCTGCAATACTTTTTAAGTCTTTCAGGGCAACCAAAAGGAAAAGTGAAAAATTTGAGATATCCCAATTTTTAAATTTTTTTCCAATATGTCAGGTGGGAGGCTGTTGTGAAGGAAACATCACATATGGCAAAAATCTCTCACATTTAACTTTTGCTAGGTATCTTTTAGCTAAATTTTTAGCCAATCCATTTAATTTTCATGGGCTATTGAATTTTGTTACAAACAATACATTCACTAAATGCCAAAATAAGATTTTTGTACTTTCAAAGCTTTACAAGAATTTCATGCCTTTTGTTAACTGACTATGTCAGACATGCATAAACAGGACATTAAGAACTATAGACCTGTTACAGTTTTGACAGTGATAAGGAAGGTCTTTGAGCAGTTACTGAGTAAACAGCTGACATAATTTATAGACCCAATGTTAAGCAACAACGTAATGGTATATCAAAAGGATAAGAGCTGTGAAACCTTCCTTATTGGATTGGTAAAAAGACGGAAACAGGTTGTTGATAACAGGAACATTGATGGAGTCTGGTCCGCCAACTCCATCTTCTTTGGAATGTTTTCCAAAATGATCTACACTTCTCCCCTGACGAAAACAGGCTATTTATGTATGCTGATGACCACTAAGTACTTGCATTGGCCAAGAAAACTAATGAGGCAGAAATCATTTTAACTGAGGAAATAACATCACTGATTGGTACAATAACAATCTTTTACAAGGAAGTATAAGGTGATGAGTCTGGCCTTGAGGAATTGTCATAAGGATCTACACATCATTGTCAATAACACTGTAATAGATCAGAAATCAAAGATAACGCTCTTAGGGGTTACCTTAAACAATCAGCCATCATTTTCGAGTCATGTAAGCAATGTTTGTAGAAAAGCCAACTGTCAAACTGGTGTTCTTCTGAGATTACGTAACCACGTTTGGTCATCTGCTTAATTACACATTGTTAAATTTGCTATACTACCTCAGCTTACATACTGTCAGACTATCTGGCATTTTTGTTGTTCTTCTGATGCCAGAAAACTAGAAAAATTCAACAACAAGCACTACGCACTGTTTTCTCTGACAATAAATTGACATATGAGGAACTCTCGCAAAGAGCAAAACTATCTAGTACATTACATATGTGACAAGGGCAAGTCATTGCAATCATAATGTATAAAGTCAAAAATAGATTGATGCCCCCTTGCATTGCAGACTTTTTTGTTATTACAAGTTCTCAGTATCATCTAAGAAATTCAGATTTTGCTATACCCAGATTTCATACTGTTGCATATGGCAAACAGGGCCTGACTTATTCAGGCCCTATCATTTGGTTCAAACTCAACAAATCTACAGTATTTGATTGTTTTAATAATTAGACACTTTGAAAAAGTGCATTGAAATGGTTAATTTTTATAAATTTATTTTAATGTATGACTCATCGTTTATTTTATATATTTTTCAATACTTGCACATGTACCTATATCTCATATTTTCTTTAATTATTAAATAATTATTTGTTGTTAGTTGTCCCCAATTAATCTACATAGTATGCTGGCAATTTTGACCCAATCATAAAGTTCCTATCTTATCTTATGTCAACACTCTGAACACTGCTGGATGTCATTGACTATTTATATCCACCTGGATTGGTACAATTTAAGTTGTTACTTCTATGTGATATTGGAACAATGTTCAAAATGGCACAATTTTTTTTGTTTCAGATGGCAGTGATTTTATATTGGTGATGAAAGATCAACCATTAGTTATGGAGTAAGTAAGGAAGTAATTTGATTAATGTATTATTGATGAGCTGACTAGAAAATATAGACCTTCAATTTGTGACCTCTGAGGGAGGAGAGAATTACCTTATAATTCCACAATGCTATCCTAAAAAATTCACAAGTCTCCTTACCTCAATCATTAAAAAAGTTTTCACATGGATACGTTTTCTGCTGCAAAATTTTTTCAAAATGAAGCAAAAGAGCAAAGCTTGGTCACTTTTTTTCATTCACTAAGACCAAAGTTGAGAGAAGATGCTAGGATGTCAGTAGGTGTAATTTTAGAACATTAGAATAAGTAGAAAAGATATAAGTAGAGCAATTGTAATCCAATACTGGTGAAATGAAAATTTTTGGTCACTATATCATTTTAATTGCATTGTCCAGACCAAGTTTTGTGAGGGAAGATTTTTACTCTCTCTTTACTCTTTAAATCACTCAAAGGTGCAAGATTTCATATTGCTGATAGGAAAAATTGAGGTTAGGTCAAAACGGTGGGAATGTTCAGAATCTCACTTACTCATGTGCATGTGTATACTGCTCTACAAGGTAAGGCAAGTGTTATATTAACTAATTTTCTTTAATTTTCAGTGCCAATGGTGATCTTTTGCCAGACCTTTTTGGTTCAGAAATTGTGAAAAATTCTCCCTTGCGTTCATACTGGATATCTCAAGGGTAATATTTCATTCAAAGTATGGTTAATATGTTTTATTTATTACCTGTACAGAAGAGTCCTTTTTGTAGTAGTAACTGCCGACTGAAAACAGCCTGTTGTTGGCTACATAGCTGATTAAGCCATCCCACAACTATTATTACAGTTAAGCACATTCAGGTTATTTTCAGATTTCTATACCACTCTATCTATATCGGTAGTTTGAATGAGTGACAGAGGTACAAAAGATGTTTTATTCAAGTGTAGGATAATTGACAGTGAAAAATATTTTAAACAACAGTCTACATGTAGATGGAAATTTTGTGTAATCATGAATGTGGCTGATAGTCAGAACTGGCTAAACTAAAGTTTCATGTCTTCATTGAACAATGAAACTAAAAGCAAATAGACACCTCCAAAGTAAAAAATGTGGACTGAATTTAAAGGAGGTGGTTTTTGTGTTGTAAACTTTGAGCAAACAACTGTGAATGTATGAAAGTCATATATTTGAACTGCGGATAAAGACATGAATGAAAGCAATCTTCACAGTAATGAACACTACTTCAGCAGTAGTGAAAATAGGGCCTGAAAAAAATTCAGGCCTGTATGGGATTTGAACCCATGACCTCTGCAATACCAGTGCAGTGTTCTACCAACTGAGCTAACAAGCCTAGCAAACTGTGAATGATAACACAGAACTGAAATGATGAATCAGATATATTATTTCAGTAACTCAGCATTTAATATGAAGTATATTTTTGACTTAAAGTTCATGATAAAAATGGAGTTGTGATATTCAATTTAGGTCAAAAAGAAGGTTTGAGGTGCAACGGCAGACCAATTTAAGAAAATCCAGTGTGCTTGCACCAGTTAGGATACCACACTCCAATGCATTCCTGGATCTCAATGGAGATTTTACTGCTGGTATTATGTTGCTAATAATGCACGATTTACTTTTGTTGTCAAATACATAATTATATATTATCTGATATTTTGGTGAGTAGTTTTGCTGAGTGTTTTTATGTGCTGTGCCATATTTTGACAACCCACAGGGCTCTTCAAAAGGCAAACAGCGATACTACATACCAAAATAAGTTATTTATTACCCAAAACAAGTTATTTATTACCCAACTTATAATGTGGGAAAAGTGAGGATAGAGTAGCATATCCTGCATAGCCATCTGAATGAGCAGGTTTTCATTAGAGCAAAATAAAGATCTGTTCCAAGAAAGTGTGATATTTGTACTCTACTTGGTGCAGTTGGATGATAAGACATTGTAAGATTTCACTCCTGGAAGTTGAAAGGTTTATGTAGCACTTACCTTGGATTTACATTAAATTCATTTTGAGCTTTGTACCTTCACTGTTCCATCTGAGGCCAGTTAAATTTAACAATAACTTTCAGTAACCTTTGTCCAAAGTGTATTTTTGTTTTGTGTGTTATTTTTCCTTGCTGCATTTATGTTTTAATTCTATCAGTAGTTGACAAACAAAGTGAAGTGTATACTTTTTCATTGCAGACCTGTTTGTCATCAATGAACAAAATCAGGGTGAAGTTTGGATAAATAGAGTAAGTAAATTCACTCAGTACCTACCTGTAGATATCATACTGCAATAGTCTCCCCCCCAAGTGACTTTAACCCTTAAACTCCCAGAAGGGATCAACATGTAAATTCTCCTCACAACATCCATGCATTATCCAACAAATAGGTGATGATAATACTTAAACTTATCCGGTAGAAGTTAGTAGTCTTGATCTAACATCAAATTCTCCCAACCAATTTACAAGTAAATGTCTAGCTACTAGAAGAGAGAATTTGCAATCAGATCTTGGGGGTTAAAGGGTTAAAACTACTCTGTTACAAAAATACACTTAGATTTGGAACAGATGGTGCAAAACTTTACAAAATCTTACAATGGTATGATTCTTATTTGGAGGAAAGCTAATCACAAGTTACATTTTGAAACAAAGTTATTTCAAGTTTCTTTTCTGGTGGTTTATACTTTCTTTTATTTCATTACCTTCATTACCTAGAAGGGAGTCCTTGTTCACCCATCTAATGACTCAGAAGAAGTAATCAAACTACCCAAAATGGTGAAAGACAAGCTCATTAAAGTGTTTGGCCAGTCAACATTTGTTGACATTGGTAAGTATGAGAAATCACCTCATATTCAGATATTCAAACTTTTTAAATGTAGTATCATAACAAATTTGGAATTAAATTTTGGTTTAAAACAAAAGTACATGGCAGTGATGATGACTTAAAAATTAGGGTTATGGTAAATTATACAGTGATTGTAGAAAATAAATTCACCCTTCATAAATTATTTGGTGTATATTTACCACCAGTCTGCAAAGCATTGATTTCCGTTGGATACTGATCTGTATGTACATCTACCCGTTTTAAAAGTGTAATATTTTCCTTTTTTGAGATGGAGATGGAAATATTGACCAGTTGTTGCCGGTTTGTACAACTGACTACTGTGAAGAAAGTCATCTTTGTGTGTATTCTAGTAACAAGGTATGTGAAATTAACGGTATTTATTAACACCAAACTCACGATAGATCAAGGTAAAAGATATCTTTATTTGCTACTTCGTCTGTAAATGCAACACACGTAAAAAAGCCATAACCAACAGCATGAAGCTTTAAATATAATATCACAGTGAGGTTGAAAAGTTGTGAATTTAATTTATTTAGTGGCAGACAATGCTATCAAACGACGGCAGACCTGTTACATGGCAGTTTATTGCGCCAACAAACCAGACTTCATCTTTATTTCCATTAATGACCATCCGAACAGGTTTGTAATCTTGCTTTACAGCAAAGCCTAAATAAATGAGACTGTCGCCAGCACTTCTTGAATAGAATCCAGAGTACAATAGAAGTGGTTATGGCAAAGACATTTTCGTCTTCCTTTACACTTCATGTGTCGAGAATAGCTGCAGTTGATCATGTAGTCCCATTTAAGGGTTTCTTTTGTGGGGCGGGGGCTTGGCGGGGGCAGTTTTAGATCGAAGGATTGTTAACGTGACAGAGACTTTCCTTTGGACACTCAGGGCGAAAGTAATCATCAGAGAGATCAACACTTACAACTGGTTAAAAAACATTTCGCGGGAAAAAAATTAATGCAAAACAATTCCACCTGTTTTCAAACAAGAATTTTTCATTCAACATAGGTACGGTTCATGTAACGATATTCTGCCATTCATCACAGCTAAATGTACACTTAGAGAGGAGAATATGTTTTGAAGATAGGGTGTCTCCAGTAAACCAACTAGTGCCGTTAATAATGTTTAATTGTTGATTTATTTTTCTGTTAAACAGGAGACTATAATATGGACGGTTTTTATGATGCATTGATAGTGTTGAATGTAAAGGAAACGGGGTGAGATAAAAAGCTGACACATATATGCACTTAGAAGCACACTTGATCCTCATTCCTTTCCCATGTTTCCATCCTCTCTGTTTAAGTATGTTCATTAAGCCATTCACAGTTTGAATTACATAGTTCATAAACCTGTGTGCAGGGTCTGTTCGTTACTTAAATATAAAGAGAACGCCCAGACTTTCCATCATACTGGAGCCCTGCATGGCAAACTTAAGTAATTATGAAGAGACACTAAAGGAAAGTGAGCATTACGTGTGAGTGCCGTTCGGCTGCCATTTCTTTGCTCCGTCCAAATTTGATTTTTATGTGTAGGTATTCGTATATTTTAAGAAGTTTTAAGAGCTCGAGCCATAGTATTATTGGAGGATTAGATGATGCTTCGATTTTCGCGAAACTTCCTCATGTCATCGAGAAATTGGCGAAGCTTTCACTCTCAAGAGTTGAAACCGCAAGAGCCAGAACGATGGCAAGCTTGCAAGTTGGCAGGAATATTGAAACCCAGGAGAGGAAAACGTGGCAGACGCCAGAACTACGAGATCAATACCATTCCTATAGCTCAATCAAGAACTCTCACTTGCGGCCTGTTCTCAAGAACGGAAAAACGGGGGAAAAACTAGGATTAACTCAAGAAACTTATTAAATATTCAAACTGGCACCTCTGGCTTCATCTCTACCAAAGACGGTGATTCCAGAGAGACGTCAGCGTTTTTCGCACCATCTCTTCTCCTTAGCAATCCTATGTCTCTAGCGCCTAAAATTGATGAGATAGCTCATGCCTCCCACCAAGCAGCGTTGCGCTCATACCTAGCATACACACGAACTTGAAGGATTATTACAAAAAATCATCAAACGGACCAGCCTTTGGTCTCTCTGACCATCTGTCTATCACGGTCCTGCCAAACGTTCGCCAGAAATCCCAAGCCCAGAGCAAGATCATGAAAACTCGCGATTAAAGGCTTAGTCGCGTTGCCAGTCTTGGTCGATATATGAGAAAAGGCAGAAAGCTTTTGTATCCGGTGTCACGCTCCTAATCAAGTTGCTTAGGAACGAAGTGAACCGCGAAAGAAAAAGGTGTCGGGCGATTTGGTATAACAACGAAGTACGGGACCTAAAGGACACGCGGCCTCGCGACTGGTGGCGAGAATTCAAACAAATCTCTGGCAATAGAAGTAATGCACGGGAGGATATAAGGTCCATTTTGAAAACTCATACTGCGGCGGTAATATTGTAATGATAGTTTTAAATAGTTTTAATCAATATTTAATACGTGATTTTACCTGATGTATCGTGATATTAGTGTTGTTTAGTTGTTAGGTTTCAATTAGTTATTAGCTGGAATACCTGTAAACTAGCTCTCAAGCTAAGTGTATATCCATGTTAAATAAAGAACGTAAAGTTTGTGTGCGGTCTGCACTGACCAGGAGCTCGCTGACAAAATCAACGAGGCGTTTGTCACTGTGATGCAAGACTACACTCCTTTGTCTGATGACGCCTTTGTCCTATGGGGAGATGATGAGCCAATTTGGGTGAAAATTGATTCTGTTTCGAAACGGCTAAGCGCGATCAGTGCATCTAAAGCTGGGGGCCTGACGATCTGCCAAACTGGGTTTTAAAAGAATACTCATATACTAGCCCAAGCGATTACTAAGGTGTTGAATCAATCTTTCCGTGAATCTACAAACCTGCGGGTGTGGAAGCTGGCGAATGTTCCACCTCTTGAAGCACCGTCTACTGAGGATTTTAACAAAGACTTGAGACCTTTTGTAGAAAAGGTTGTGGTTATTCATCGTGGTGAATAACAACAAAAGCTAAGTTTTTCGTTTGTCTCACGATGTAGTCACGTATGATCGCGACGTTTCGACTTCATACTGCTAGTCTTCTTCAGGCGAGGAAGACGACTAGCAGTATGCAGTCGAAACGTCGCGATCTACATCACACATGACTACATCGTGAGACAAAAGAAAAACTTATTTTTTATTGACGTGAGACCTATTTCTTCAATTTCTTAATTTGGCTTTATGCCTAATTCCTGCACTACTTTCGCACTCATCCTAATGTTGTATTACCGGCTTGAAGCCACTGATTGGACCGGCGCCTACGTTAGGGCAGCACTCCTAGACCATAAAAAAGCCTTCGATCATGTACATCACAACTTGCCTATCCCCAAGTTTTACAATCTAGGAGTTAAACCCACCGTTGTCAACTGGGTGATCGACTTTTTCCGGGACAGATCCAAGCCTGTCAAGCTTAGCTCTGATTGTTTCTCGGACTTTACCCCAGTCCCCGCTGGGATTTCACAGGGTGCTCGCATTGGCCCTTGGCTCTCTTTGGTCCTCGCTACCCCGTGCAGCCTCGTTTCTGGTATGTGGAAATTCGTCGACGACACCACGGTCCCGGAAATTGTTCCACAAGTCCGGTGCGACAAAGATCCAAGAGACAGTGGATCATGTCCTTCAGTGGTCAAACGACCACAAATTCAAGCTGAACTTGCTTAAATACAAGGAACTTCGGATAGACTTTCGAAGGAAACCAAACGAGGTCACTGTAATTGAGGCCTGTGGAAATTCCTTTGAAACCATTAAATCAGCAAAAGTACTAGGCGTCACTCTAAGGGGTGACCTAAAGTGGAATGATTATGTAGATAATATTACAGTAAAAGCGTCTCAGCGAATCTATTTGCTTGAGCATTTTAAGCGCGCTGGCATTGACCGCATATCTCTAATTCACTTTTATTGCGCATGTATTCGTTCTGTCCTAGAATATGCCTTTCAAGCTTTCCATTCTTACTTACCAGTCTACTTGTCTAATCAAATCGAGAGGGTTCAGAAGCGAGTTTTAAGAATCATTTATCTAGAGGCATCGTATAGAAAAGCGCTAGAAGATGCAAATCAGAAAACACTATTTGATAGGCGAGAAGAATTATGCGTCTATTCAATCAGATCAAAGAGAGTGATGGCCAGCATAAACTTGCTGACCTGTTACCTGCGCGCAATAATGCCTCTCAGTACAACCTTAGGAAAAAGCGAATGTTTGCTATGCCCGGTATAAAAACCAAAAGGTTTCAAAATTCCTTCATAATACACTGCAGAAAAAAAGCAAAACTAAATCTAAGTAGGATTATTATTATTATTATTGATATTTTAATTGTTTATATTTGGAATTTATTATTATACGATTTGTATTTTTTGTAATATATACTAAATTATTAAATTACTAAATTATTGCAAATTTTGTATATTGCACAAGTAATTCAGCTACCAGCTGCTGGTTGTGATTTTAATAATAATAGTAATTATAAAACGTAATTTATGTAACAAGCAAAGTTGAAATGATTACTTCGATGTATTTGTTTAAATCAACACTGTACACTGTCACTGTTTCTTTTATGAAACCTGAGGCCATTATAACCTTGAACACACAATTCATCTGCTTAAGGTTATTGGAGGAAACATTTCTAATTATATTATTTCTTTTACCTTAGATTACTTCCCTTCGTAACAATAAAGTGTTTCTACTTGTTGAAGATTGTTGGTGTTTTCTTTACACCTTAAATGTCTCCACCCACCTGGCCATTAATATTCATTCTTATCTTCTTATCGTGCTCTTTAGTAATGGTGCATTTTGTTAATGTAATCTTGTTTTCGTCTGAACACTTACCAGGGAAACCAAATTCAAGAGAATTGCAGCTCTTTTGGAAAATATACCATGTGAAAGTACACATACCTCTTGCTTTGGGGAACGGACATTTGACGTTCATTGGAAGGTAATCAATCTTCTATCTGATTTCCCTTTTTTTTTGTTTTCTTTCCGTTTTCTCTTTTCATCAAACGTTTGTTTTACGCGTAGTTTCCATATACAGATATCAGGACGCCACAATGTGGGTGATGATTTCCTTCTTTAATCAAAATCGTACATTTTCTCAAATAATGTTTACGTTTGTTGTGATTTTTGGTTGCAGGAGTTACCAACTTTAGAGGGAGCTGTTGTAGCCACGTTTTTTGACTTGTATGAAAATGTAAGAGAATGTGCATTTATTTCTAATTACTAACATAATAGCGAGGCTAAATGCAGGTGTTCAGGTCTAATATTTTTTTTTATGTTTACTTACGTTGTTGTGGTTCTTTGGTCGTTGCGTTATGCTTTCGTTGTGTTGTACACATCAGCCATTTAATAGTGTAGCTTAATCGTCCGGGTGAGCGTAGTTCTTAGAAGGACTCTTGTCGGTAGTGGTGACTGACATTTCGACAACCTGAGAGGAAGTCATCATCAGAGTCAACTGAATAGTTGTCGTTCGAATGTTCTTAGTTCGGTTTTTATAAACTGATTGGTCCGTTTTGCCGTGATATTATCGGCTGTAAGAATGAACGTGGCTTAGGTCGGTCGTGATTGGTCGGTCTCGATCCGTTAGTAAAGTTTGGTCGTTCTGTTCGGTTCGTTTGTAATGTTCATGTCGTGAATGAGTCGTTTGTATGGTGCCGGTACTGGTTGACACTAGTTGTGAGGTTTCTGCCAGTCTCATCGATGTAGGAGGCGTGGCAGTCGGAGCAATTGATCTTGTAAACTGCTCCTGTCTGTTCCTCGGTTCGTCTTTGTCTTTGTTTGACTGAACACAAACGAGCGACGAGGAAAATCGTACTGAACATCACCGACTTACGAACCACACTGTTGACTGGGACTCTGTGCAACGCTCAACCTACAGCACCAACTACTGTCAACGACTGATTCTGGAAAGCTGGTTTACTAACTTGGAGTGGACTCCCCTCAACAGGTGTCAACCGGACGGTCAAACCACACTATTACGTGTTACCCACGGGGTCTAACCATTTATTGTATATCAGCCATTGCTACACACATTTTTCCTGGTTCCTACGGTTTAAGCTTTTTCTTTTCACCTTAATTTACAACGATCCTATTCAGGGTGCCTTTGTGTTTACCCAGTCTTGTTTTATTGTGGCAGAATGGGTAGGAAGATTTTATACACTTTCGGGAAGACAGCAAATTTTCTTCTGAATTTGTGTCATGGTTTTTTGTTTGTTTGTTTTCTTCTTTGTTGTTTTGGTGGTTTGGCTTTTTTTGGTTTGTTTTTTTGTTTTTTGTTTTTTGCAGTGTAGCAGGCTCGATTTTTCTTCCATTTTATTTCAAATTGTATGAAAGTGCCATTTTAGATATGCGGGAATTAGTCTGATTGTTCTTTCCAATTTTTTTCTTTTTTTTTCTTCAATGAGAAAGATGTAGCGAAGTGTTCCCTTCGCGCTTATATAAGTGTTGGAGACATCAAAAGCTAAAAATAAAATCAGATGATCTAACTAATTGAGGGACGTGTGTGGATAAGGAATTGAGATCTGGGGTAGCTCCTGTTCAAGCATGCTCTGGGCTCTCTTGTCTTTATCAATCTTTATATTTTCACAGGGAAAGATTGGAGTCATGGGTGTGACTGAGTCTTTGAAGAATGGCGACCCACAATCCGTTGAGTATCATGTCCATGCGCTCCGTAATGATCTCTATAGTGATGCCTGTTTCTTAAAAGTTATTGGTAAGTCCGCACAATTAAAATGTGCAAACTGGCTGCATTGATAAATCAGTATTTCCTCAGTCAATTGTGACATTCTGGGAACATATTGATGATAGGTGACTGCGGGACAATACAGAAAAGTGAAAAAGGAAAAAGAAAAAAAGAACGTTGATACAAACGGAATAATCAGCTTAAAACAAATACAAATTTATCATTTTCGGCCTGTATGGCCTTTGTGGCCTGTTGGGTCTGTCACGTGTCATGCCATGGAACGACCAATACACATATCTTTTTGCGAAAAGATGGCGCATTTCCGTTCGTTGCGCAGTCTTTCACGGCAAAGTATCAGGCTTGACTCCAACACAAGCACGAATTAAACGGTTCATGGGGTCACACGTTTTAAATATGCGATGAAGGAATCTTGTGTAATGCCTTTGAGAGAAGAATATGTCATTGCAAGGGACATATTATTTTCTCTCGACAAGGAGGGTTTTTTTTACCATACCTTAGAGAAGTTAAAGAAAGTCCAGTTTTCGTGGCGCCAGATTTACTGATAAATGTTCTAGTGGCAGAGGTAAACAAAAGAACTTTTTTTCTAACCAAGCGTTTTTAAATCAGTCGTAGGAGGCAGAACGTTAACTTCTTGTGAAAATGAAAACCTGGTAAGTTTCCAAGATTCTCTTTTGTATTTCACTGACTTGCTTGGATTGATCCCTTCTGATTTTAAATTTGGTATACAATACAATATACAATATTTATTTGCCATATACGACATTTACACATGGAAAAAAAAAAATGAAGAAAATTGATGACAGAAAATAAATGGCGAGAAAACCTGAAAGAAACCACGAGGCTTATAACAAGTCAGGCTTTCTCACTTAAAATAACTGATCTTATATTAGAATTACAATATGGACTTATGGTAATTAACTTTGACCGCGCACACGTACACACACACACACGCACACACATATTAACTAAGTTAGTTAAGAATTACTGCCTTACAGAAGCTAATACTTAGAGAGAAGAAATTCCTTAAGCTTTCTTTTAAAAGAAGCGGAGGAGGGAGAACTAGTTATGTCAGAATTTAACGAATTATAAAAGTTTGGACCTTGAAAGTAAATTGAAAACTTCCTGGTGTTCGTTCTGCACAGTGGCAAACGGAAGGACTGAGCATTCCTAGTATTATAATTGTGGATTTGACTATTCAGTAAAAAAAAAAAGTTTGAATTTGGAAGGGAGTGTAGAGTTCTCGAATGAAAACATAAAAGTACCTAATTGAAACGAATGGATATCATGAAATTTTAAGAGTTTAAGTTCCTTTAAAATAGGGCCAGTATGGGCAATGTATGTAGAATTGCTTACTATTCTTAACGCACGTTTCTGTAAGGTTACAATTCTTTGAAGGTTTGACTTATAGGTACCAGCCCAAGCTAAATTGCAATAATACAAATATGGAAGGATCATAGAATTGTATAAAAAGTACGAAGGGAGTGAGTAGAGAAAAAAACCTAGATTTATGAATAATACCTATAGATTTGGATAATTTATTTGCTGTTAAGGATATATGCGATTTCCAGGTCAAATTGTCATCTAATAAAACACCCAAAAACATGGTCTCAGAAACACGAAGAATAGGCTGCTCATTTATAAAACCTGAAATTCAAAGGATTGCTTCTTTTGCCAAGGCTTGAATACCATAAAATTAGTCTTGGCTAAATTCAAGGAGAGCCGGTTTGCTGCAAACCAGGTTGACAATTTGTTTAATTCTCTATTTAATGTGTTAATTAGGTAAACAGGATCATTATGGGAGATAAATAAGTTTGTATCATCAGCAAACAAGGTTGCATCAAGCAGGGAAGCATTGTTCAAATCATTAACATACAGGATAAAAAATAAGGGACCAAGAATAGAACCTTGAGGCACCCCACAGGGAATCCCCTGTGGGGCAGATCTAACGTTATTAAATTCGACAAATTGTGTCCTCTCAGAAAAATAACTTTTGACCCATTCTAGTGCCAGACCACGGATCCCATAATAATTGAGTTTGTCAAAAAGAATGTCGTGATTTACCGTAAGATCGAAAGATCTAGGAATGGCATGTTCTTTTCTATCAAATGCAGAAGAAATTTTGTCACACAAATCGATAAGCGCAAGGCTAGGAGAGCGATTTTTTCTAAAGCCATATTGATTATCACATAAGACATCGGAGTCATTGAGATAATTTATAATACGGTTGTAAATTATTCGTTCCAAAAACTTTGAAAAGCACGGTAGAACAGAAATAGGTCTGTAGTTGCTGAAGAGAGCTTTGTCACCTGATTTAAAAATAGGTATGACACGAGCAATTTTCAAATCATCCGGAACGATACCATGAGTAATGGAGAGATTTACAATGTGTGTTAATGGAGAGGAAACGCTGCATATAGATCGCTTTATGATAGACATAGGGATATTGTCATACCCAGCCGATTTTCCCGCCGGAAACGTAGATGCGATATCTATAATCTCCTCCTGAGTTGCTAAATTTAGGAACATTGACTGAGGGAAATGACCAGGAAGAAAATTCTTATACGAGGTCGTAGGTTGAATTCGTTTAGCGAGGTTTGGTCCAATATTGCTGAAGTAATGACAAAATCGATTAGCAATCTCCATTGGGTCAGAAATATCTTGATCATCAACCTAAACACAGAGTTGGGTTTAGGTCTCAATTTCTTGCTGTTTAGTACCTCATTAAGCAGACGCCAAGTGGCTCTTATATTGGATTTTGACTCGCTTAGCCTCTTATCATAATATAAACGTTTCGCGATTCGTAGGGAGTGATTCAGTTTGTTCTTATAAGTTTTATATTTCGCTTCGTTCCAGAGAGAGGGGTTTGAAATATACTGCTTGTATAGTTTGTTTTTCTGCTTGACAGATTTAAGTAAGCCCTGGGATATCCACGGTTTCCTAAAGTGAAGGCGACGCTTAAGTTTCTTCAAAGGAAAATGTGTTTCGTAAGCTTTAGTGTATCGCTCAAGAAATTTGCTGTAGCAGATTTTAGGATCATTATACCCGTCTATATTGAGCCAATCAATACAATCTAATTCCTCTAGGAAGTTGGAAATGTTTAGCTCGCTTTTGTCACGGACAAATATGTTCTCTTGGTGTTCGCGGGTACACTTATGATCGAAGCAAATGGAAAAGATAGGCAGATGGTCCGAAATATCCGTTATTAATAGTCCAGACTTCAAATAACTGTGCTCGACATGGTTAGAAAAAATGTTGTCAATCAGAGTTGCAGTGTGAGAAGTAATTCGGGAAGGTAACGTGATTAACGGAAAAAACAGGTGAGAATACAGGCCATCTAGGAATTCCCCGGTGGCGTTGTGGTTTTGATTTTTTTAGCAGATTCAAATTAAAAACTCCCATTATATAGCATATCTTGTTGTCCCGAGATATTTTCCCTAATATTTCGTTCATTCTGGTCACGAAATCATTTACATTTTGATTTGGAGGGCGATAAATTATACCAACAATGATATTTTCTCATGGGGTCGAATGATCTCAATGAACAATGCTTCCATCACCTCAGCTTCATCAGCATAAATATCGGTGCGAATTCTAAAATCAAGATTGTCTGATACATACAAGCCAACACCTCCACCCGATTTAACAGAGCGATTTTTGTAAACAAAGTTATAACCATCAATTTCGACTCCAACTGGTGAATCCATTAACCAGGTTTCAGTTATCCCAACAACGGAGAATTTTATATCTAGAGAGGTTAGAAGGGTCGATAGTTCATCAACCTTTTTTTGAAGGCTTCGAATATTTAAATGGAACAATGAAAGATGATTCGATTGTTCACGACTAATCATGATTTCTTTTTGAAGAGTATCGTTAAATTTATCTTCTACATAATAAGAACACCCGCCGTCAATATTAAAATGTATGTCAGGGTCTAGATCATCCGAACGAATTAAGAACCGCTCAAAATCGGAACTCAAAGGATTGATAAATAAGTTAGATAGTCTCTCGGGATCGAAATGAACAGGTCCATTTCTGAATTCATAAATCACCGCAGCAAAATCACTGTCATCTAAGTGACTAAACGGTAAATTGGTAAGCGACATTATCGTTATTTAGTAAATAAACTTAGCTGGGCTCTGCACTACGTCTTTCCTTTATAACCAGTCTGTCCAACACGAAGTATGCCGTCTTCCCGGCTCTCTTTGCCGCATTCAGCTCATCAACCTGCCTTTTCCGCTTTTCGATGGTCTCATTTGCGAGATCTTCATTCACAAATATACCAGATGGTTTTATCCTTCGGGCGGCTCTAAGAATATCATCCTTCTGCCTCCAGTCGCGCAGACGACACACAATGGTTCATGGGCGTGTGTTGATACCATCAGCAGCACCTGATCTTGGTCTTACTCCGGTGCGATGCGCTCGCTCGATCATCGGCTCAAAGCTCAGGTTTAGTTTCTCCTGTAGTACTTTCTTCACCTTTGTTTCAGTATTCAGCCAGGTCTCGTTGTGTTGTTCGGGAATTCCATCGATGCGGACATTGTTTCTACGGCTTTGGTTCTCAAGGTATACCAATTTTTCTTCTTGTTTATGTAACCCTGTTTGGATGTCATCAAGTTCTTCTTCCATTTCGTCTATGGCGTCTGCAGCTTCCTTCAAGTCGTCAATATCTTGTTGTGAATATTCTAGGCTCGCTTTTAGTTCCGCGACAGATTTGACAACCTTGTCGATTCTTGTATTTACAGAAGACAGAACCGACTCAAACATGTTCTTAAACATCCGTTCCTGCATCTGGAGCATCTCCCTCAGAGTCGCTAGAGAAACGAACTCGGTGCTCGAAGCGTTTGTGTCTTTTCCAGTGTTAGAATCTTTTCCAGTAGAATTCATAGAGGTTTTAGCATTCCGCGTCAGCATGTTAAATGGATCACTTGACAGTAAGGCAATATATAGTAAAGACAAAAACTTACAACAAGTCATGAGTAAACGAAGAAAGGTAATAGATAACGCAGGTCAAGACGCCGTGGCCGGCGGCCATATTGCATAAATTAATTCCCCGTAGTATAAGTTATATTCTCCGAAAAAATCAGAAGCAATATGCCAGTTTTTCGATAAACGTGGCTAGTTTTTGTCGTCCAAGCGGGCCACCACTGTGCCCAACAAATTGATCGACAGTCAGCACTACAAACGGCATAGAAGGAAAATACCGATCGCATTCCATTCACTCTCACATTTCACCCCCACATTTGCGTAGTTAAATTAGTCATTCTTAGAAACGTTAAATTACTTCAAAACGATTCAGAGACTGGTACTATCTTTTCGCAACCTTGTCTAATTTCATTCAAACGCGTCAAAAATATCGGCAACTTTTTCGTTAGAAGTTCATTTCAAACCAATGACCAACTTGGAACTTTCAAATGCGATACACGCATGCAAAACTGTATAACATATATAATAATATAAACATGTATAACGTAGAGAAAATACCGGGAACCAAGAAATCCATGAAGATCACTGATCACTTCACGTGCACCTCTGCCAATGTCATCTACTGCATAACTTACACTTGTTGCAAGAATTTATACATCGGTGAAACAGGAGGACGACTAGATGACCGATTCTGATTCTTCACACTGCATATAGTATAACTGATATGATTTATGGGATGAATTTAGAGGCATTCTGAAGGAGACGTAATTTTTATCGTCATTGTCCTAGCCTTACGGTGTAAGTTTGACTGGACCATACATGAGGTACACCACCACAAGTACAGACGGGAAAATAAAGTACGGCAATGGTAAGTTGGACGGCATTGATGACTGTGTAGAAGGTAAACACTGGTGTGTATACTATGACAGGAGAACTTTTTTACTGTGAGCAGTTGAATTGACGTATGCTATACGTCTGACAGCTTTCATATGCCTTCTTCGCATGTAGAGTAGGCGTTATTTTTGGCCTTAAAGTGGACCCAAAGGCGAGGCGTGCGCGACACCCGAGTCGCGCGCGAGACAAAGAGTTACTTGCTCCTTTCTTTTGTCCGCCCATTTGAGAGTCGCAAAACTAGCACTTGTTCTGAATGCTTGATTCGTTCTTTCTTTCTTTGTTTCCACGTAGTCTATATTGCCCTGTGTTTAGTTGGAATAGACCATTCCTATTTTTTCCCCCCGCTGGATTTTCCCTTTGCTTACGAATGTTGATTGCTTTGTTTGTTATTTTTTCAGCCGCTCAGCTGTCTCAGTCAGCTTACTTTGCCCTTCAATGTCCTTACACTGTGTTTGGCTTGGGAAGAACACCCAACTTTGTTGATGAGCTTGCTGTAGGAATTCCAAGATCAAAAGGCTCTGTAAGGCTAACTGATCATTGTCTCTGCCCCAAGTCTTTTAAGAACACATAAATAAAAGCCGTGCCAAGAGATGTAGCACTCAACGGCTTTTTCTTAACGTGGTCGAAAGTCTTCCCTCTCGGAGTATTATTTTCACAAGAACAGGCGCTCGCTATCCTTGCGCTTCACGTGACTACATAGGGTAAAGATAATAAAATGAAATGAAGAGAAAAAAATACTGCTGAGGCTCCTTTCTATTTTTTTATATCTCGTTTTAAAATTGTTCTTCATCCTCACATGTAATTTTTATTTGTTGCAGTCTGAAAGAAAACGTGTATGGAGTTCTATTATACCGAATTCACAAGTCATCGTGGTTCCTTACCCGCCCGATAGCCTCTCAAGGTGACAAAGAGACTATTAAATCTTCACATGAATAAAACACTTTCCTTGCTGATTATCCTAAATTAGACAGGCAACTTGGTTGTTTGATCGAGTCCTGTGAACTAAAAAAATACTGTTATAAAGTGCTGAAAAGAAAGCTTTTTCAAGACAACTAAACAGCGATATTCCAAAAGTTAAGAAACGTTTCCTTATTTCAAGTTTCATTTTTGTTTTAGTTGGACTGCAAAGTTGTTCGTTACCCCAAGCAAACTGGTGTTATTGACAGGTGTCAGTCTTTTGGGCATCTGTGTCTTTATTGGTCTTGTTATCTTGTTGTTGCATCTCAAGGAGAAGGTAAGCGAATTTCAGCCGATTATACGAAACACTTTATTATTATTGTTTCTCACTTCGATTGAAATCCACCAAGTTTTGTTTAATTTTTCACCCGAAATTTCCTGCGAGATGTGTTCAATGTTTCTCATCAAATTTTGTTTTGAGAGGCGATGAGAATTAAAGAAATTGGCCATCAAGCTGACTGGAAAAATGTGTCTTGATATTACGTGAAATTACAAATATTCTGGAAAAAGGTCTGAGACAAGCGTATATAGCTGTGAGTGGATTGACAAATGGTCCATTGCTCCCCCTCCAATACAAACGTTTGCCATAAAGCCTTTCCACTGTTTTGAATTCCCTAACGACAGAACATGTTTCTTTTCGCTTGTAATTATGGCTTTGCGGGAGGTTACCATTTTGGATTTTTTAGGTGCATCGGGTGACAAAAAGGCGTGTTTTCTTTTCTCTTCCAGAGAGAGGACCAAAGAGAGAAGCGCCAAGACGCACACAAATTCCATTTTGATGCCATGTGATGTTCACGTGTCTGATTAAAGTTCACAGGCCAGCTGTGGAGGTTGAGTCGTGAAATGCGTGTGTTTTATGATGACTATGAAGAATTTTAGGGTACAAGGCAAAAATGTCAGTGAAACAGCGATTGAGAACCTTTCTGCTTATTTGTGGATCTGTTTTAATTGTATAGTGAAATTCCATTAACTGGGTTGATACAAGAGATTATAATCTCTTAAAATTATCTGGCTGATACAAGTACTTGTATTTAACTGAATCAACGCCGAAAAATAACTTAAGTATGTTGCTGTCACTAAATATTTAAAGTCTTACCTGCATTCAACAGCATTTGAGATCAAAGGCTGATCAAATAAATATGATAATTCGTTAAAAAAAAACCTTCCCCCCCTCCATTCTTTCCCCATCCTTGTGGTCCTGGCTTTTAAGTTTCAAAAAATAGCATGCTAGAGTAGTGATAAGTACATTGCCATAGCTGTAAGCAGAGAGAGATAGAAAGGTTGGGTTGTGAGTTATAATCTAGATAAACAATTAAAACCAGAATAGCGGTGTTTTGTCATTACACAATGTTTACCAACTGAAAGTTACGTAGTATTCGGTGTAAGTGAGTCAGCTTGACACACAAACTGAATTAAACCAAATCAGATTTGTCTTATTACCATTGTAAGTATCCTATCTTTTCATTAAAACTCGTGGAATGACACGGCGATAACGACTATTTGTTTTACTTAAAGGAACCAAAGTGTTGTTAGTGAACGTCATCTATTCGTCTGTCCTCCATTGGACCATAACTGACTAAGAACCAATCAATTTGCACGTACAATTCAGCTTATTATACAATGATTGATATACTTGGAAGTGATCGTAATCTATAAGCTTTACATTTTGTTAACTGCAATCTTGTTAGGCGCTATGATTCCCTTGGAAAGCTTGATTCCTTTTGGTTTCAAACACGAGTTGGTTGGAATGTCACTGCTAATAAACAACAATCTAACGAGATAAGCTCTTAATTTGCAATTGCATCATATCAAGAATACATATTACTCTACTCTACAATCTACTTACTAATTTTTTTACGCTGATGCGGGGTTATAGTATGTTTGGGATTGCTTAGTATAATCCAAAATTAAAAGAATCATCCGTATTCGTTAACAACTATTCTCTCATTAATCAGAGGAAGAATTCTTGACAAAAAAACTTCTATTTTCTATTTTGTAAGGGTCTTGTTGTCGACTTTAAGATCTTAACTCGGTGATGTTTCTTGTCTGAGACCGAGTTGCCTGGACCGGAGATGAGTCATTAGTTTCCAGCCCCGTGGCATCTTCTCCTGCCCCAACTATAATCATCATGAATGTCGCGCAGCAGCTAGCTCCACACTGAGGATTTTTTCTCACATAATTTATGGAATTGACGAAGTTAGAGATGTACTGCACTGCAATTCAAGAGGACAAAGTCAACTATTGGTTTGGAAAGAAACATCTGACTAAGGTGAATGCAACATCAGCGATACTTTTTGTATTAGTTGTTAAATGCAAAATCAGTGAAGAAAGTTCAGTTTATCTTGCTGTCGCATGGGTTGGCTGTCTCTGTCTAACGCTGTTGTTAGTGTTCGGCACAAGTTGTGTTGTGGAATAAATGGTTCTTTAGCTTGAACTGATTAAGACATTACACCTGTGTTATGCACCTACATTGGAACATAAATATTTCTCTATTTTCAAAGGGGACCATAAGAGAAATTGAGCTCATTGACTCGTACTGTGGGGATGTCACTAGCTTTTATACATGGTACGTTTAGCATAGAACTTAAATTCTTACCTGCCACAACGGCTATAACGGTTACATTTACAACCACCAATATGACTGAAACAAAGTTACTGTCTCTTTCTCTCTGGCTGTCCAATGAAACCTCGTCAATTGGTATTTTTAATAGCATCCCAACGTTTAAGGTGACAAAGTTTGCGATAAGTGCCACAAGCTGCAACCAATGTTCAAACGTGTCCCTGATAGGCTTGAAATAAGCCACTAAAATAGTGTAGATCCCTGATGTTATGGCAGCAGCACCCAAATAACTTCGTGTGTTAGCCCCCATAAGCAAGAGTAATGACGTCACCCCTACTTTTCTGATCAGCTCGAAAAGTTCCCAAAACCAACACTGCCGAGCATAATTTTCGTACAGGAAACTGAGACCAATAGACATTTCCCTTCCTTTGCGATTTTGGGTTTCCTCTTGGTCGTGGATCTTTCTATGGAAGTACCGCCATAGTAAAAAGAGAACTACGGCTGGTACACCTACAACAGGTAGAAGTAAGAAATAAACAGCTATTGTATATCTGTTGTACTTCTCGGTGAAACACTGGACTGTGAAGTCGGCGCGCAAGAAAGACTGACACACGTCTGTGCTGGAGCAAATCTGTTGACATGTTGGGGACAGAAAGCTTAAGATGGTGGTACAAGTCCAGGGGAAAGTCACAAAAACCAGGAGGGAAACAATCCGATAGACCTGAGTTCTTTCAGCGGACAGAGATTCAGTCAATTCCAAATTATTGAGCCCCTTTTTAAAAAGCAGCAGTTTCCTAAGCTGGTAGACTAGAGTTGCAAGGATAAGAAGTGCCGTGTGTAGCCCAATTACAACTAGTAATCTGGTGTACGCATTTACTGTTATTCCGTTGATGATACACTGCAACGGTATAATATCCAGTAAGTTCAGCTGCACTATGTTTGCATAATGCACAAGCGTCCATAACGCATTGGGCCATTCAACGTAAGAGAACGTGTTTAAGGTTCCATATGTGACTTGGTAAAAGCCAATGACGATCTTAAGACGAGCTAACATCATGTCAGTCACTTTTCTACCGGATGCACAAGTTTTTCTCCTTCCCAAAATCACGCTTGCTGTGAGAATAGTACATATGATGGTGATACCAATCAATTGCAAAATGAACCAAAGTAGTTTGGGACATTTGCGACAGCGGTTGAACAATTGGTAATGTCCTTTACTGCAAACGGCGCATAATGGACCCTCGTATCCATAGGAACACTTCGACTCCATACCTCCAAGACATGCCTCTTTTGCTGGACATTCGTAAACCGGCGGCACTGTTCCTTGGAATCTGAGTAGTGTGTAGGAGTCACTGTTGACTAAAAGATCTGTTGAGAATTTTTGGTATTTCGTGAGACTGTCATTCGATGGCCATTTCCAATAGAATCCTGGCTGTAGTCTCACTGACTCGTTTTGGCATGATAGTCCTCGTGATAGACATTGCATGCATTGGCCAAATCGATCCATTCGATAAAAATTCGGTAAGCACTCGCACCCTTTAAAGCCAGCAAACTTTGTATATTGGGTGCCTGAAACAAAAAACGTAAACGTAAAACGTAAATAAACGTAAAATGTAAAAAACACAAACGTGGCTTTGTTGTTCATCGCATAACATTTAAGATGAAATTGAAAGTCATCAACGATAAAGGCTTGTTGAACTCAATAGTGTCGCCGTCTGAATAGAGCTTTTATACTAATTCTAGTCTAGGCACAGAGGCCGAAGAAATAGAGAAATATACATTTTTGCTCGCTCAATATGAATAATCTTGAAAATACTCGCCAGTCCTACTTAAAGTGCCAATGACACGAAAAATTTGTTTGCGTAAATATTTTGCTTATCAGATGTACAAACCAATTCCGATAGAAGAAAAATTAGACCTAGTTTTTTCCTGGCCCTAAAGTGCTCTTATTTTGTCTTACAAGTGTGCCGTGAACTGGTAACGAATCAGCGGGTGATGACGTAAAAAATCGTACTTTCAACGCACAAAAAAATGGTCAAGGAGAACTCGCTAGCCGCTTAACTCGGTTATTTCTGATTATGAATGCAGTTATCAACCAAAAAACGCAAAAAAAAATTTCGTGTCATAGGCACTTTAAGGTGATTCCTCAGTATTACAATGCACATCTTGTACGGCGCATAAAGATTACGAAATCAGGAAAAAAATATCGACTGATGTTTATATTTTCTTGGTGTACCAGTAATAGCATCAATGCAATAAGATTGGCCCATCATATCACTTAACCTTTTAACCCCCAAGAGTGACTGACATCTAATTTATTCTTACCATATCACCCTAAATCAAACATTGAGGTCAGGAGAATAAAGGAGCTGATCACTGACTAAAGAAGCTCTTGATTGTTACTAATTCTCCATGTCGGCATCTTGGGAAATGTTTAGAGAACAGTATGGAGAATATGCGTACTGATGTTAGGGTGTAAAGGGTTAAGCAAGCTCGGTGACCTATCTCCTCTTTGCACTTTTCTAAACAGGGATTGGTTGGGATCATTTTAGGAAATTTTGAAAAGAAACTCAGTAACTTTTCTCCTGAGGATCACCTTAAGTGGCCACCATTACGAGTACTTGAAATTTGAACCCTAACGTTACACTTTTAGACAGTCGATGGTGGAAGCTAGTGAAGAATTTCCTAATTGCTATTTTGATATTAACTTCTCGACCTTTAAGCAAGAACAGGGAAAAGAAAAAATTAAATTGTAGTAATTCTGCAGTTCATCTAACCAAAAAACTTTTTTTACTAACCTTAAACAATTTCATACCCTAAGCTGATGGCTCATAAAACAGTTTATACAATCATTTTAAGTTATAGTCCTTCACGAACCTTGAGGGCACAAAATACAATCTGTTATGGCTTTTCCTGGTTTGGATTCCACTGTCACGAAATGACCTAACGGGCAATGTTTACATCCAGTACCGGAATAGGCCAGTTCATCTTGATAAAAACCACCTGTAGCACAAGTGTGAAAATGATTGGTTTATCGTCAAAAATGGATGTCAAGGATCATTGCAAAGACTGCCAATCCTTGAATATTATTAACAGGGAGTTCGAGCTTGTTTTCGTAAGTCATCATTGGTTAATCTGTTGTTACCGCGCATTTAAGGTAACAGCTACTGAGCATGCATGGGCTTTTAAATATTGGCTGATGTTTTTCGTACGAAGTAATCTGGAATCGCCCATTGAAAACGTCAAACCCGTAAAAGATTGGGGTTTCTTTCTCTTAAGTTGTCCTTGCAACTCTCCAAGGTGAGCGTTAGGGGTTCAAGGGTAGGATTCATGGAACACCGACCAACTAAGGTTCCCTTTATAGGCTAGTCGTTCAGGCTGTGTTATCAAGTGCTTGCTTACATCATTACCGGCACGCACTCGTCAGTTCGCTCCTATCAAGAAAGATATTTGCGAGGCGTTCATCGACAATGGCTTAAAAATAACAATCGAGAAGATCGTCAACTTTCTCGATGTCATATTGAACCTGAACAAAGGAACTTAAGAGCAATATGCAAAGCCCGACAGCACGCCACCCTAGGTGCACCGTGAAAGTAATCACTCACATGCCATCACAAAAACATTTTCCCTGGTGATCAACAAAAGGCTCAGCGAAATCCCATCAAACAATGAATACTTCGACAAAGTGACACCCACGTACCAGAATTCGTAACAAATGAGCGTTTACGAACACCAATTAAAATTCGACACACCAACTAACGATCAGACGCGCAGCAAGGAGATAACTAGAGACAAACACACTCGTCCTTTAAGTGAAGAGTGCCTAACCCAAAATGTGGTCTACCGAGCCATAGTTGAAAGCCTAAAGGGAAAGGAAATATATATCGGACTTGCCGCAAACCAATTTAAGACAAGATTCCGCAACAACACGGCTTCATTTAGAAACGAGAATATAAGGAACGCAACCGAGTTGAGCAAACACATCTGATCTCTAAAGGACACCGAAACGCAATTCGCTCCGACCTAGAAAATAATGGCTCGTAGCAGACCGTATTCAAACGTGGAAAAAAGATGTAACCTGTGCGTAATGAAAAATTTTTCATCGTATGCAAACCGGGAGCGGCACCCTGAAAAAAAGAATGAGCTGGCGAGTGCGTGCCGGCATGCGAGGAAATACTTGATGACAGATGCTTGAACGATCAGCCTCTAAAAGGAACCTTAATTGGTCAGTGTTCCATGCACCTGACGAGAGAGGATTAGCAAGACATTTGGGAACAGTTCTGCAGTACAATGTTGTAATTTCTCCTTTTCTTTCAATTAATAAATTTATATATATATATATAAATGGATGTGGTGGTAGAGTCTACCTTGGCATAAAGTGCTCAATGCTGTGGTAGCAGAGCTAAGTATACATAAGTTAAAGAATTAAAGAGGACGCATCGATTCTGTGTGACTCTGAGTTTCGCAGCAAAGCGCTCGTCAGACAGAGCGTCTGTCTGACGAGCGCTTAGGTGCGAAACTTATGTATATATATGTATAAATCTACACCGTTTTCAAAAACGTTGCGGCAATGAAAATATATATGAAATACACATATTTTGAAAACAGGTGTATAAATATCTTAATAGGGAGAGAGAGAAAGTTTTTCAATCGCCATGTAATCAACTACCTGCAGGACATGGAGCGCAGGTCCCTTGCATCCCTGCATATGTTCCAAGAGGACAAGGATAACATAAATTCTCAGAGAAACTTCCCTCAGTCAGTTTACAAACGAACCCCAAGACAGAGCTCCCAAGAAGTGAGGGTATGCTCACATTGTAAATGATTATTTGCTGAGCAGGAGTCCTGTGGTGAAAAATGAAACCGATCAAATACTATCCAAATGTTGGCAGATTAGGTAAGCTCATATTTTCTGAACGTGGCTTTAGTTATGGGTGTCAATGTCATGCTAAGAAAACCATCCTGCACATGATGAATTACAGATTATCATCTTACAATGCATCAAACAAAATCTAAAATCCTGGACACTGAGTTAGAGTTACCTGTATAAAAGGCGAGGAAGTTAAAAATACTTCCGCTTAACTTAGAATATATTTTAAATTTTTCCGGCTAAAAGTAGAAAATAAAACCTCGAATGAAACACGGGGGCCATTTATCCTACGTCAAAAACAATGATCTCCTCACAGGTCTATCACCAAGTCACGTGGTCCCGACAGATGGTTTGGTGAAAGTACATTAATAGGGGTGAAAACCAAGATCCTGTAGAGATAAGTGAAGGATAAAAGAATTCTTTATCCAGTCAAGATGTATATCCAGATACCAGGAGATATAATAGCCCCACACACTGTCATTCAATATTCATTTCGCGGAATTGTGTCAGAAATCAATCGGGTGATATAAGAACTTGTCAATATAACGAGGCTCTCGCATTTTTAATAAACGCGGTCCTATCACCATAATCATGAATCTAAACTGTGTAACAATAGTTAGTAAAAGGTCATCAATGATAACGCAGCAATTTCTTAGCACCTCAAATTTCTGATTTTCTTCTCGTCACCCCAGTAACTCTGCCTTAGCTCAACTGCTTTTATAACATAGCTAGTAAATTTGTCTAATCAAATTCAATTGCGCGAGCGTGCTTCATATTCCTATTGTGCACGCTCATGACGTCAGCAAACAAATCCCTCAAGAAAAAATTTTCCTTCGGGTTGAAAATGTTATAAAACAATTGGTTCATACGTCAGCTGTGCGTTCATCGAGATATGAAGCACTTGGGAAGTTTGGAGAGCACTCAAGAAGCTAGAGTTGCTCTCGGCTACGCCTCGAGCAACTCTTACGCATCTTTCGTGCTCTCCAAACTTCCCGCGTGCTTCATATCTCGATGAACGCACGCTGGCATATGAACCAATTGTTAAATAATGAGCCGGAAAAGATATATCTTTAATCTTAGCTTACAGATATTGTAAATCCGGCGTTGTTGAAAAAGCTCTTTCTGATATTTGGCGTAATGGATTGTATGCTAGATTACTGAAATAATTCAGAAATAAGACAGAGATGATCAGAACTCTTAGTCATCCTCGCGTAATACCAGCATGTTTCCTGAGTTTGCCTGGGCCGGGCAAGGAAATATGGGCTGCGGGTCGAAGAACGAACGGAGAAAGTCAGGAACAACGCTATTAATCATGTGACTTCTAGGGTATGCCTTTTCTCACATATCAGGTTATGTGATAATTCTCTATAGAATACCCTCTTATTCACGCGCATATGTTTGCATAATTGAGACCTGATGGGTAACCAAAACATACAAGCTAAAGAGATCTATTCAATTGTACTTTCAACAAACTGCTACAATAGCGCCTTTTATGACTGTACATTACAGGTGTCCACAACTGCAATCAAAGTCAACTACCCGATTACATCCTTATTGATCAAAAAATGCGTTAATAACAATTTACTTAACCTCCAGGAAAAAATGCAGCTTGAACAAATTATCTCTTACTTACATGAGCTTTACGGAAGAAAGGTTATAGAAGGAATGACTTTCGATTATTGCGATCCGGTTTCTTGAAAGATCACTGGGAAGAAATTAATGAACCACAGATGAAAATATTTTTTGTTGCTGTACATACAAAGTAGAAAGGACTTTGAGTTACCGAAGGCTATGTTTGTTCTTAATGTTGTACCCATACAGTTCTTCGGCACATATAGTGGCGCCCTGTGATGAAACCTTCTATTTCAGCAATCTCTGAAGCGTTTGAAGCTAGCCGGCAGCATTTCCAGGCGTCGTGACAAATAAGAAAAGTGGCACAATTTTCGTAGAAAAGAGGGATAATAATTTGTCATTGTTTACAACGATTTTTAAGTGTTTTACTGATCTCTGAAATATTCAGCAACCAAGACTCCAATTTTCAGCCCGTATGCATATTGAGTGTGGAATCCCCCTTTCGTCGATGCTAAGCGTAGATTTGCCTGGGATATCACATAAATGACACAACAAATAGAAAGTCTTCCACTTTTGTCCCTGGCTTAATCTTTATATTAGCAGAAAGAAAAAAGTATTCATTGTACGCACAGGTAAAATAGATAGCTCATGTTGCTAAAAGTCCCATTTGATAGCAGATAAATCTTGTTGCCTCCAAGCAATCTAAGGGCAAACATACAATCAGAGACAAACAGAAACGTCAATAATGATTAACATTCTGGACTGGGAATCAAAAGTAGCTAGTAGCCAAGGTAAGGGTTACAAGAGACAATTATGGGAATTATTACTATAGCAAAATGAGGTGTGATTTTGCAAAGACTACTATTTTACGATGAGTTAAAATTTAACCATTTAATGGGCGTCTTTTTTAATGACTGCAGACAGGTCTTAAGAGGCGTAAATCTCATTGTACACCACTCCTCGAGTAATAACTTAATTTATTAATAACAGGAGTGGAGGTGCGATGGCCTTATGATTTGTGCGCTCGACTCCGGATCGGGTGGTCCGGGTTCGAACCCTGACCGGGGTCATTCTGTTGTGTTCTTAGGCAAGACACTTTACTCAATAGGTAGCAAGTGTGAAGTATGACTATGGAGCAATTTATTTGGAACAACAGATGAGAACTTCATAGTTTTTCAGTCTAGTGTGGTCGTCTTTTTCTAAAAAAAATTATATTCGTTGTGGTTCAGGATTGTTTCAGATGACTGCAAGGATAAACTCAAGATTTAATTAGATACGAAACCTAAGCTCTATAGAAGGCATTAAGACGCTTGTCTGAGGCCGAGCTTAACACGTTACTTACATAATATTAGCTTTGCCATAGCCTTTGAATGCATCCTGGTGTACAGTCTCGATCTGGTTATTAGAAAGATCTCTGCAAGGCGGTGATAAAGTAATTAGTCTCAATGTTATGAACATGACTTCGATTACTGGTAACATGGCATTCATGTAAACTCATTGAAGAGTTTTGCTAAAAGCAGGCTTGCCACTCCCAATCAACCTTGAGACCAGCTTCCGAACGACCCATGACCAACCCCACGGCCCAGGGCCCTCCTACACCCGCTGTAAGTAGTGGAGTTTACTATTCCCACGGGAACGGTTCCACCCGACAAGAAATCTGGGGATAAAGTTCCTCCACCTTTCAGATCCTGTTATGAAAGACGATGTCTGGGTTGATTGATTTTCTCCCAAAGAAATTAGAGTTGAAAAGTCTATCCTGTCTCAAAATAGAAACGAGTAAACTAGAACATTACTGTTAGGAAATAGGTTGTTGTTCATCGCGGTAGCTGCATTGGATGATATTATAAGTTTGTTCTGTTGTCTCACGAAGTCACTTGATGTGGAACGCAACGTTTCGACTGCTTCCTGCAAGTCTTCTTCTTGCGATGGGGTCGTCTGGTTGTGGCACGGCATTATGTACCATGGTGATCTGTTGTAATTGGTGCATTTCGATCCGGCTATTGTTTCCAAGTACCATGGTTTCCTCAGGCGTTCGCTGGTTTTTCGTGTGTCGTTGATTTAGATGTTTTCTTATTGTAGGCATCCACGCTTCCGGTATTTCGGTTCCGTTGTCCCTGTTTATGTTGTTTGGGTTGAGTCTTATGTGAATTACCTCTTACACTTTCCTTGTGTACCAATGGCAATTTGGTTTCGTTCCATAGCGACTTGTGTTCGGTTCCGTTGGCATGTTCTGAAACCGCGGAATTCTGAGTGCGTGCGAGTCGTATATCCCTGTCGTGTTCTTTCATTCTTTCCTGCATGGGTCGTCCTGTGCATGGTATCTTGTAGACTACGCCATCTTGCTTGTTTGGGTCTGCGGGGTCTTTTGGTAGGACCAGCCGGGATCTTAGTGTGGTGTCGGATTTAAAGACGGTGCGTATTCCTTGTTGCTGTAGGTGGCGGCGGAGGGGCTCCGAGACTCCTTTGATGTATGGCAGCACTGTGGTAGACTTGAATTATGCTGTTTCCCTCTCGGGTGTTGGATTCCTGGTTTTGGTCACCTTCTGTAAGAAGGACGGAGGGAAGCCGTTGGCGACGAGAACTGTGAATAGATGTTTTTTCTCCTGGGCTGTTCCAGATGGCTTGGTGATGATGCGTTTAGCTCGATCATGTAGACACTTGACAATACCACGTTTAACAGATTGTGGGTGGTGCGAATCATAGGCGAGGTACTGGTCGGTGTGTGTGCGTTTTCTGTATATACTTGTGAGCAGTTTACCGTCTGGTTCCCTTGTTACGAGGCTGTCGAGGAAGGCGATCTTGTTGTTATTCTCAGTTTCCATGGTGAAGCGGATGGACGGGTGTTGTTGGTTGAGGTGGCTCAGAAAGTTACCCGCGTTGTGCTGTTTCATGACGGTGAACGTGTAATCTACATAGCGCTTCCATATTCTCGGTGGTTGTGGGGCGGTAGCTAAGGTTTGTTCGTCAAAGGCTTCCATGTATAGGTCGGCAATTAAGGCGGAAATCGGGCTGCCCATCGGTGCACCTTCTTGTTGCTCGTAGAGTGCTCCGTTGTACTTAAAGTACGTGAATCTCAGGACGAGGTTTAGAAGGTCTGCAATCTGGGTAGGTGTGAGCGCTGTGCGGTCTTGTAGGCTCGGATCGTTGATGAGTCTGTGTAATGTGGCCTGTACTGTTTTTCTATAAGGACGTTGGTGAATAGCGACTCGACGTCAAAGGATATCATTACTTCGTCTGTTTGGATGGTCTCTCTGTTGATGATGTTCGCAAATTCTCCTGAGTTCTTCACTGTGTAGTTGGAGTTACCTGTGAGAGGAGACAAAATTCCAGCTAGGTGACCCGATAGGTCGTAAGCAAGGGTGTTGACACAGGACACTATGGGTCTGAGCGGTGCGTTGGTTATGTTTATTTTTGGTACGCCGTAGATTCTGGGTGGTTGCTTCTGCTTCGGCCTGATCTTGTAGGTTCCCGCTACGTTTGAGTTGTTGCAGCTTTTCCGTGGCTGCTTTCTCCGTTTCGTTACCAAGTGGCTCTGGAAAATCTTTAATATATCAAGCAGCGCCAGTGATCACGCTGACATGTGCCACATATTATCAAGCTACATAATTTAGCATAAATTAGAGTGACGTCACAGAACACGATTAGTGTCAGGTTATCGTAGACCTTCCCTCGCTTCCGTTTCACCTTGGGGGGAGGGTACGGGTATATGTAGGCTATGGGTTTAGTTGTGAGAGAGATACGAATTTTGGCAAATTTCATCACCAGAGGTATGTTGTTGTTAAACAAGAAACACTTTGATCCATGCGCAAATTGCAATTTGATAAGTTGTCATTTTAAGAATGAGTGGATGAGCGCAATTTTTTTAGAATTCGTCGAAATGGAAGTCATGCAAACAATAGGATTAACTTTAGTTTGGAAGGGAATTGAAGACAATACGAGGGGGTGGCTAGCATCCGTGATCCTGGGGTACCCGCAAATGCCATTGTTGAGGATCCCACTTTTTTGCTCATCCGTAAAAGTTAAGTAAAGTAAAACACGGCGTGGAGGTCGATATAACAATCTGGTAAGTATCCTCTGTTTGACACAGTATGACCCCCCCCTCCCCCTTTGAAAAATCCTAGCTATGCCCCTGCAGTACATAGTCGATTAGAAACAAGAAGTCCGAATTTTGAATTTCACGATTCTCCAGTGTAAACTGTCTTTTGTTTGTTTAACCTCTGCGGAAGAAACACGTCCATGACCAGTAAATTGTAATTTGAATTAATGGTTTATATACGCACATTAGTCCATCGACAGTCCTGTTGATAAATGCTTCAGATGGTATCTCAGATATATGGTTATGTCGTAATATCCTAGACGTAGAACACAATATTATTTACGTTTTAAATTTTGAAATTTAAAAATAGTTAGTTTCTTGGGTTTGCTATGCTTATAAACTCACATAAGCTGGGAAAGTGTGCACACGCAAACTCAAAATAAAAACTGAGCTCATGACCTACAGTTGACATTAATTGATAATTAGTCTCGACTGATCTCTGAGAACCAAGAATTAATTTGATTTTTAAGCATTGGGTGCATATGTTATAGGCTACAAGACTCGTCATTCCGAATACATTTTTAGCAGCCAAACTATTTACATCCGTGGCTCAGAACGGTTTTAGTTCAGAGCCAACTCAATTGTAGTGATGATTGAAGGAGCCTCTGAACCGTTAAAAAAACGTGGAGGAAAGGTGAAAATTATTGTGGTCATTTCAAGTTAAGTGAAAATTTAGTGAAAGGACATGAATTTGATTTTCGGGGTTTCTTGTAGCGAATCGCGAAATCCTTTCCTTTCCTTTTTCTTTAAAATTTTAAGCAAATCATTAGAAGCAATGTATTTATCATGCTGGGAGCGCAGAAGCGAACATAATTCAGCCAATGTGTCTTATCTGCTTTTCTAGACACTCGTTCAGAATTTTTTTTGAAAACTGAGACGACAAATTATAAGAAATGTTTTGATATATCGTTGATAATTCATTTAAACTGCTTCACGGCAATAAAGAAACAAAATTCCCTTTTACTAAACTAATCGCGCCCCCAATTAAGCATTTCCATTTCGCCCGAATAGGCGTCCCTTTCTGTCAGAAAATTTCAAAATAGCTAAGATCATTGGTTCACAACATAAATGCAAGTTAGGTTTTAGAAAGGCTCAGTATCCTCCTTTGAAGGGTACGTCGATAACTTATCCCGGCCTTCGGTAAATGTGTCAAGATATTTCATAGAGACATGGGCGTCTCTCAATTGAATGGGAAAGTAATTTTAAATGGTTAACCTTGCTGCTCAGGCTTTCACTTTTTAGCTGAAAATGAATTCGTTGTATTATTTAAAATAAATACTTACAAAGAATGGAAGAAAAAGGGTTTCGCCAAAGACAAAGCTTCAACTGGTAATTCCTTCAAACGATTGTTCGACAAATCCCTAAAATGAATTCAACGAAGAATGTTTTTGTTTCAGTAGGTAAGCCTGCGCTAGAAAAGGACATGTGTACAATTAGAATACAATCATAGGTTACGGAATAGAAGGGAAATAATCAGGTGAACAGAATTTCGTTAATGAAGACTTTGTGTTTTGAATGCAATCGGAAAGGAAGTCGCTGGACCGTAAGGACACCATCTTCGAGTAAGATGTTATCAAGTTGGCATAGACTCACCTGCGTAACTTTCGGTGTTATATTTCGTAAGTCTTTAAGTCGTCTTTACAGGTTAAAATGGAGAGTAAAACATAACTAAAGCTATGAACTTTTTCCAGGCGTTTAGTTAAAAAAAAACAGAACGCGATTGTAATCTGTGCAATAACAGCAGCAGAGGGTGGCTCGGGTCCGGTCTCACATTTTCTGTGAAATATGTACGGGTTATTAAACAATTATTCACTTCAGGGTTAGCAAGATTGTTGAATATTATTTCCAAGTATTCACTGATCCTGAAACGAATAACTCTTGTAATATAATTGCTCAGGTGATTTCGCCTTCTGTTGTAAATTATTACTGTTATGCCAAACTTAGTAGCCCCTTTCGAGCTCATCAAAATTGTAATTTTCTTCTATCGCGTTCATTATTTCCCCGTAATATTGGCAAACGTGAAGCAGCCATTTTGAAATTTAGTGCCCCCGCTATAATTTTGTGCGAGGTGATTATAGTAGGATATGATGCAATACTCGACCAATCAGAGCTCGAGTTTCTCTAAAGTCACCTGAGCAATTATACTTATGTTCAATAATCCACTTAGCTACTTTAATCATCACTATCATGGTTCTTCATGTAATATTCTAACGCACTGTATAATTTTGGTACACTATATTGACCCTCTCGGTACTTATTCTGGAAACATTTTGCAATTTTGGAAGTTTAAGCATTACTTGTTTATCATCGCTTGTCTATTATCGCTTGTTTATCATCGCTTGTCTATATTAGGTCAACAGACCAGAGTTTGAACAATCTGATGATATCATGACACTCACTAAGTCTTCCTACAATGGACCGTGATGCGAATAATTTCTGCCTACGGTCATGTTTCATGGAAACATCAAAATTAGTGTATATTAAACACTCACACGACAAACAGACTTCTTAAACCCCCACGGTTTAAAAAGGTCTCGGGATGAAGGCGTTGTAACTCATTTCCAGAGAGGAATCTATGAGTGCGAATGAAAACATAATCTCTCTTGTTTATTGAAGTCGAAAAATGAGTCATGGAGAAATACATTTTGCCAAAACCTAGTAGCTCTTACAGCTCAGAAAGTATGCTATTATTCAGGAACATCCCCTCTCCAATACTTGATATATTGTTCTTGTTCAGATTTCTGAAAAGAGGTAAAGAAAGGTAAACGTGCTTGACATGTTAAACAGAGGACACTTTAAATCATCGTATCACTTTATAACACAAATCTAACACCGATATCAGAAATTATTAAAAACCGGATCATTGGATAATGCAATTCAAGAGTTCTCATTGGCTTAGCCATCATGGGCTTTGAGCCATGAAACTGTGCTCTTCAAATATCTCAAGAAATAAACATTTGCCTATTCCTCCTTTTTAAGCAAAGCATAATCACAAGATAGCTCATTCAGGTTTTTGAAACCCGTGCATGTTGTCGATTGAAGTTGAAGACGATGTTAATTTACTACGGGGGAAGGAGGGGTTGTGGGATTGTGCCTATCATTCAATGTCAAATAAAATTAAAGACATGTAAATGATTGAAGGTATAGTTCAACATTAACTCACAATGTCATGAGGAAGCGGAGATTCTGAAAAGAGTTCTTGTCAAGACTTGTGAGGAGATTCTCAGCCAGGTCTCTATATCAGGATTAGAGAGCATCGATAGTGACAATGAATTTTGACATAGTTACCCCATATAGAAATTTGAAAACCACTGGGTCATAGCTCAGGCCCACGCTAAAATCTTTGCATGATTTTTCGAGTCGTGTGTCAACGTTTCAATCAAATCACCCAACTGTTACTCATGAGTTACGTTTCTTATATGTCTTGGTATTAGCAAGTGCGACGTGGTTTTGACGTTGCACTTGAGGAAAAAAATAAGCATTTCGTCCCAAGTTTTCAAAGCTAGAGCCACTTTCATCAAGTAGTCTTTCATAAGTCGTGAATAAGGGCGGTTATCACACGTTGTAGTCACTTCTGATGTCGAACAAAATAATGCGTTGCAAATGCAAACCACCGGTCTTTTTCGAGCGAGAAGGTCGGCTGGTTACGGGTCACGTTATAAAGAACTATACACGGTAAAAGAGGCAACAACAACAAATGGCTTAGGGATTACATTATCGACTTGCTTCGATCAAAGCTAAAAAAGCGATCTTCAACTTCGCACCCTAGTTATGCGTGACGCATAACTAGGGTGCGATGAGATGTAAGTTCAGTTGAATTCAATGATACGGAATTGATCGAAATCATTAACAACCATAGCAAATACGTAAATTCAGCCTTCAATAACTTACAAGTATACCAGATGGTGTGTTCCAGCAAAT